CATCTGATGAAGTGAGCTGTAGCTCACGAAAGCTTATGCTCAAATAAATTTGTTAAGGTGCCACAAGTCCTCCTTTTCTTTTTGCGAATACAGACTAACACAGCTGCTACTCTGAAACCTGTCAGCATGACGCTAGTGATTCTACAGTCTGTGCAGGAAAAATTATAGCAGAGGTTATAATTTCAACTCTTATTTTTTATATAAAATGTTTTTAGGATGAAAATTTTCATAAACTCAGTAGAAGGATATTCCTAGAAATTTTGAAGGGAACTAAGTTAGCATTTAACTTAAAGACAGAAAAACAATTAGGTGAGGTATTCCTTTCGCACTCAAAACGTTTGTATTTTTTCCTCTCTGGTAACTAAACTGTCTTTGAATGTGAAATTAAACTAATATGGGGTTGCACCAGCTATTCCATAGTTCAGGTTACCACTGAATTTCCATGGTAAGCCTGATATTGCCATTCTTCACTCTAATATCCATAAAGGAATCATATGCTAAAATCTGATAGTGTGTGTCTTGGACTGAGGTACAATATTTCTACCACATTTGAAGTGAATCGGACAATGGAAGACAAGTTGCCCTCACCAATCTTATTTCAGGTCCTTGTTCGCGTTGCACATGAGAATAGATTTATGTCATCCCACCTACCCTCCCAGTATGGCCCAGAGCTCTCCCCTTACTACTCTTCTTCCTGTCATATGGATACTCCAACTCTATACATTTTCACAATATAAATTAAAGACCTCCTCATATCTTCTCCCAACATTAACTGAAGGTTGTACTGTGTCATTAAAGAACACAGTATCACAAGGGCAAAGTTAAAATTGGTATAGCAAGATGTAAGGGTCCCTCAGCCCACCTATAGAATGAGAGCATGGGTAGAGAGGTAAAAGTGTTGTTCATGCCTTAAAAGAGACTCTCATAATGTTTTTGTGTTAAAATATGTAACCCTGTGCATTAACTCATTCTAGAGGTTGTTGTTTTGTTTTTGTGGCAATAGAATTAAGAGTCTGAAGTTAGAAAAACTGGGAATTTAAAAAAATGATTATATGACTAATATACTGCTGAAGCTGCATGCAAATTCTATGCAATCTTTTACAGGCACTTTGTCCAGTCTGTTGCAGATCCTACCAGAGACAGTTATATTTTGTGGTTAGTGTGAGAAATTATCAGATTGTAAATTTTCTTTTAACCTTGCCCCTCATGAATGATACATTATAGAAGATGTACACAGTATATTGTTTTATGAGTTACAAACACAAGATATATCCACCTAGAAGCATATCCCTTGATACTGCTTCAACTGTTTCAGTCAATTAACAAAACAGTGTACGAAGGATGACGCTGTAGTTTTACAATGTAGATTTTTAAGTTAAAGTCCACATGTATTGACAATTAGACCATCATAAGAATAAGTCTCGAGGTACTTATCAAAGCTTAGCACAAAATGTTTATGTGTCATAGTCTCATCATGTATCACTGTAGCTGGACCTTTTGTGCAATGACAGAAGTAATGGATTATTTAACTATTCACTGCCAGTAACTTGGAAGAATTTCAGTCATATCTCAGCTCTTCATGAATGAGAGACTTGCAGAGCTATGAGAATATGATTCTATTTCCACTGGAGGTAGGACAAGAAATAATGGGCTTAATCTGCAGCAAGGGAGACTCAAGTTAGATATAAGGAAAAATTTTCTAACTCTCACTCTCAGGGTAGTTAAACTCTGGATTAAGCTTCCAGAGAGGGAAGGTTGTGGAAGCTTCCAGGGGAGGTTGTGGAATCCCCTGTCACTGGAGGTTTTTAAGAACAGGCTGGACAAACACCTGTCAGGGATGTTTTAGGTTTATGTGGCCCTGCCTCAGTGCAGGGGGCTGGACTTAATGACCTCTTGAGGTCCCTTCCAGCCCTATATTTTTATGATTCTATGAGAATTTATGCAACCAATGCTAAATATGAATGAGGTTTATTGACCACAAAGAGATGCTCACTCACAGTACAGACCAAACTGCAATCACCTCATCAAAGGTGATAGGAGTTGTATACAAAAGTCTGAGGCAGAATTTGGACTAAGGATGTAAGGGTTTAACCAGTTAACTGATAAGCTTGATGCTTATCAGTTTCTGTTTATGGTTAAACTCTGCCCAGGGTCCTGGCTGCTGCCCCGCTTGCCCAGGATTCCTCTGGGCTGCCAGCCCCACGCCCGAGGTCCTGGCTGCTGCCCTGCATCCCAGTGCACCTGGGTCCATCCCAGATGGGGTCCCGGCTGCCGGGGTCTGGCCTGGCTATCAGCTCCATGGCTGGGGTCCCGGCTGCCACCCTGCTGCCGCCCGGCATCCCGGCACGCCCAGGGTCCCTCTGGGCTGCCAGCCCCTGGCTGGGGTCCGTCCCGGCTGCCGGGACCCTGGGCATGCTGGTATGTTGGGCAGCGGCAGGGCCCCAGATGCGGGGGCAGCAGCAGGGATCTCTGGGCGTGGCAACAGCAGCGGAGCCCCACCTAAAACATAACACCCCTCTATACCCCTCCACACCCCTAGTTGCCCAGGTAAACGTTTAACCGTTACACGGTTACTGTTTTTATATGTTATTTATATCCCTAATTTGGACATAATTTTTCATTGTATTACTGTGATCCTATCAGATATAATTAGCTATACATGCTTGCGTTGAGTCTGTCTTTGAAGGGACAAAATCCAAATCTTAGGTGTTGCAGGTGTGAGTGATTCTGTATCACATTTCCCCCTGAATTAGTACTGATGCTAGAGGACTCTGAGCTGCTGAAGATGCTTTCTGATTAGACGTAAAGCCAAAGTCCTGAACACTTATGGTTAAAGTTTCTATGGTATTCTTTGCAAACAAGGGGGTTTTAATTCTGAAGTACTGAACAAATTCCAAATCAGGTAATTCCCTTGCAGTTTTAATGGGATATGGACTTCTTCGCTTCTTATCCTGAACTGTTGTGTAGAGTTGCAAAGTACTGTTAAATAACTTCTGCTTTCAACCCCACATGATAATCTGCTTTTCCGTTATGTGTAATGTGAACCTTGTGCCCCTTGCCTATCTGAAACTGGGGTTGTGGGGCTGTAAAGTGATTTGAGATCCTTATGTGAAAAATGATAGAAGTGCATTATTTACTTTGTGTTTCGTGGCAATTTTCAAGTTAAAAACCTATGTCCTTCTGTACATTATAAGGATTGTAGTAACCCAATTTTCAGAGCAACTCTACAGAGAAGTTGTGCAATATGTCTTTCACATGCAACTTACTTAACACTATTTTATAACAGCACAGACTAATTCGTTTTAAAAGAAGTGGCAGAAGTAGTACATGCTGCACTTAAAACTGTGCCAAAAGGTCAGTGGCTGTAGATCAGTGGAAAAGGATCCAGAGTTGATCAGATACTGCTGTTTTTAACCACTCTGTGTTGTTTAGTTTTACATTTCACCATTTAACAATTGTATTTAAGTTTAGTTGTTCAAACTTTCACCTTGCTTCTGAGGAAACCTTAACCAAGAGAGTGTTAGAGAAGTGATACTCAAGCCTTGTCGTACTCCCAAATTTCACTTACAATACCAGCTTAGCTGGATGTTTTACTTAAGTATCCAGCATAAAAGCTCTTAGCTGTCCCTGTCATGAAGCCAGCTGATGATACACAAACATCATACACTTCAATATGCAATCAACTTTGCTTTTGTTGCATCCTACATTACATCTCTCTCTTGTCTGCTTGGTTGCAAACTCTTTGGGGCAGGGACTTTGTCTTCATATTTGCAGGTAAAGCAGCTACTACACTGATAGTGCTGCATAAAGAACAAGGTTAATAATGACAGATTTAATGACAGTGGTAGCCGTGTTAGTCTGTATCTGCAAAAACAATGAGAAGTTCTTGTGGCACCTTAGAGACTAACACATTTATTTGGGCATAAGCTTTCTTGGGCTAAAACCCACTTCATTAGATGCATGGAGTGAAAAATACAGTAAGGAGTATACATATTACAGCACACGAAAAGATGGGAGTTGCCTTACCAAGGGGGTGGGGATTGGGGGCAGTGTTAGGAAGGCCAATTCAATTAAGGTGGAAGTAGCCTATTCTCAACAGTTGACAAGAAGGGGTGAATATCAACAGAGGGAAAATTACTTTTGTTTATAATATTTCACTTGCCATTATGACTCAGAGTTAACCCGCCAGTGAGATGAAGGGGGCAGCTCTCCCTTCTTAGGGTGATGATGGTGTCAGGCTGCACGCAGGCTCAGGAGATGGCAGGCACTCCAGTATCACCTGCCAAAGGGCTTCTAGTCAGCAAAAGGGCTAGAAAGTTAATTTTTAACATATAAATTCTGTAAAAAGCAATGGTGCTGCTGACAGGTGCCCTGGGGGCCTGGCTCGGGCCTGGTGATCCTGTTGCCCTAGTTTAGTTCCCCCTCCCCACGCCGGACTCAGGACCTCTCCCCCTGCCTCCCACAGTCCCAGATCAGCCGTGCCACCCTTCCCCTTCATTCCCCCCTCCCCCACGGTGACCCAAGAGGAGCCACGCCCCCTGCCGCCAGCCTGGGCTCCTATTTGCTCGCTCCATCGCCCTCCCCACTTCCTTGCCGAGCCAGCGAGGACAGCAGTGATTGGGCGGTTGCTCCGGCCCGCCGAGAGGCGTCGCCCTGTCCAGCGAGAGCCTCCCTCAGTAGTCTGCGGTGTTTCCGGGCCGCCCTCGTCACGTGACAGGAAGAGGAAGCCGCCGCGGTTCCCTGTTGCGCGGCAGCGGCCGGGTCTTTGCGAGCGGCGGCGGCGTTAAATGGGCCGGAGGCGGAGCCGCTGCGCCCTAAGGAGGAGACACGCCCCTGTCTTTGCGCACGCTTGCCCGGGCCCCGCGGTAAGGGGGAGTTGGCCCCGGTAACCCCGCTCCGCGCAGAGACCGGGCAGCACCGCCCCCTGCGGCTGTAGCTCCGAACAGCCCCCGCCCCGTGTGTCAGTGCCCGGTCCCCGCCGCGGCGGCGCCGCGCCCGTCTCTCTGGTCTGGGGGGGGCGGCCCCGGTGTAGTGACCGCGCCAGGGCTCCGCTCTCCCTGACCGCCAGGCGCCCGGCCACCAGCGGCGTTTCGTCCCCCGCGCCCCGTGCGGTCACGGCGGTGACCGGCACTGATCCCGGCCGCGCCCCGCGAGCAGAGGCCGGCGCTGCCTGCGGGCGCGTCGCGGCTGTAACAGGTGTCCCCTGACACCGCGCGGGGGTTGAGGGCCGCGGTCCCCGCCGGGCCAGTCTGACAGCGCTCTGCGCAGTCCGCCTCGCACCTTCCCACACCAACAAGGAAAAACGATGTAAGGAAATGGTGGTAAAGCCAGCGGGGCCCGGGGCTCGCAGCCTACCTGACGTGGTTCTGTCTGTCTTAAGTGGACCGGATTTACTGTTGTCCGTGTTTCTGTGAGTGGATTTCCCAGTTAACGGGAGGCAGGACGTTACTACTCGTGTTGCAGTCTCGGGAGGGGACTCGGTCTGCGCTGGGATAGGGCAGTGCCAGCTACAGGACATTCGCTGTGGGAGTTCAGCATATGTCGTTGTCAAGGCAGGGCATAAGTTAAAAGCCAGGCTGTTAATTATACGTTGCATACACTCTTTTGCATATATCGCAGAAGAGATTCCTTGTTCCTTGGAAGGCATTCCAGTTCAATAGGCTATTTGTAACTTTCTCAGGGCAGGGTCTGTTTCTTCTAGTGTGTGCATACTGGCAGGGCTCAGTAAATAGACTTGCCTGGCACACTCTCTGCTTATTGAAGGTTTTCCTTGTAGTTTTTGTTGTGATATCGAAGTGCTTTGCAGGTAAATTAGATCTGTGAGGTGATTACATGAAGACAAGTAGGGCGTCATCTGCTCTTCCCCTTTTCGTCATAGGGAGGCTCTGAATGGAAACTGGCTTTTTCAGACTCTGGATTGGTCTCAGTTTCAGAAGAATCTTATGAGAGGAGATTAAAAAAGCTTGGCTTGTTTAATGTAGCAAAATGAAGGCTGAGTGGGGATATGACTGTTCTGTCTAAATATATCTGGGGAGATATCAGGTAGGAGAAGAGCTATTTAAGCTAAGGGACCATGATGGAGCAAGGACATATAGGTATAACCTGGCCATGGATAAATTTAGTTTGGAAAGTAGAATAAAGTTTCTAACCATTAGAGGAGTGAGGTTCTGGAACAGCCTCCCAATAGGAGTAATGGGGGCAAACAGCCTAACTAGTTTTATGATGGAGCTTGATAAATTTATGAATGGGAGTATATGATGGGGTTGCCTGTGATAGCAGAGAACTGGATTCAATGCCTCGGGAGTCCTATATTCCTAGCTCCTCTCAAAGCTTGTTACTGAGCCAAAAAAGCTTTATCTACAGTTCTCTCATACTTCATTTTAAGGCTTTGTCAGATGCATTGTCTCAGAAAAGCTCGTCTGTCTTGTTGGTATATATATGGAGATGAGATCTCTGATGTAGCTGGGTCCTCCTGGCCCATTGACGTCTTTGAAGATTGGGACCAAGGCCTTGAACTGGTACTAGAGGGTGGACTGTAAAGCCTGTGGAAAGATTGGTGCACAGAGTTGATGTGCTCACCACTCGCCTATCTGACTGAAGAGAAAGAGGCTATGACATTCTGCACAAGTTGGAGAGTCTGTTACTTCCACTTCTAGCCCCAGATACAGAGTGGCATTAATAATTTACTTCTGGGGGAATTCTGCTCCAAAAAAATTAAAAAATCTGCGTATTTTATTTGTAATAATAACACAATATAATCGTGCTGATGTCAGTTATTTTGGTTATTTATATTACTGTCCAATGGATGGAGAATGGGAGTGGGGAGCATTGGAGGAAATCCCCAAACCTCCTTTGTCTAATAGTAATGTAGCTATTACTAATAGTCTAATAGTAATTTGACCCTTTATTTCTAGTTATTAGTCAACAAATATATGCAATCATATGCTCAGTGTTACATCTTAGGCAACTGAAGAGCAAGTGAGGGCTGAGGAATCAAACTCACAATTTAAATTGGCTACTGACCATCTCCAGAAAAGTCAGTAGCAAACAGTTCATGGAGCATATTTTGGTAGGAAATGTTTTCAGTCCAAAAATTTAGTCTAATCACTAAAATACCATAAGCATTTATAAGCCATACTGTCCTTTAAAATAAGACTACCCCATTCTGGCAATGTAAAGGAGCCTTAAAACTTTTACACCTGTTTTATACCCCTGCGGGATTCACAAAGATAACAGGAACAGTTCACTAAGAATAAGTCACTAAATAGACAGGCTGCTACATTCTGCTCTGCCTGAGAGGACCAAGACTGCCCCATGCCTACCTCCTCAAAAACAACCCAAAGCCTTGCCCCTCCATGCCGAGTGTGTGTAAGAGGGACAGTGTGTCTTTCTCTGTCACACACATGACTGCTCAACCTCCCTGGCGGTGATTTATGTCTCTACTGGCTTATCCAGGCACCCAAACTGATCTGCCTGTGCTGCTGGGGAGGGGCCCATGACCACTCTTGAGGCTTCCCAATCAGAAGTCATTTTTCTGCAGGGAAGTAAAGAAATCTGCAGGGGATGTGAATTCTGCACACATGCAGTGATGCAGAATTCCCCCAGGAGTAATCATTCTGGAGGTGATTAAACATGTGGATTATTGTAGTCAAATCCTTGTCCAGAAGGAAAGGCTCCCATTTCTTAGCTTGATGAATGTAGATTATTTTGCCACTGGGAATCTAGATTTAGTGAAGAGTCTAGCAGGACTCAAGATTTTGCACCACTTGAAGTAAAGAAAGCAGGGGCAGGGCCACACTCTCAGTTATTCCTTCAAAGCAGTTCCCCTCTTCTGATCAGTGTTACTTTGGTTTTGCTTGAGTTGAGTTTGTCATCTTTCTTTTATTTAGGAGCATGTGTAGGCATCCTTCTGGTAGCATTGGTTGCGTCTGAGGAAAATGACAATGTAGAGCTGGATTTAATCTGGGTTGTGTTAGCAGTGGAGTCTATAGCATCTTGCTAGACATTGATGTGATCTCACATACATATTGGAGGAGAGAAGAAGGGCAGCTCCTAAGAAGACTTTTTAGGCAAGATGATTATGGAAGAGAAACAGTTGCTGATTGCTACGCTACATGCCATTAGAGAGGAATGATTATTATTGACCCCTATGAGTCTGAGTCATGGATGAGGACCCCATTGTGCTAGGTGCTGTGCAAACACAGTACAAAAAGACAATCCTTGGCCCAAGGAGCTTACAGTCTAAATACAAGATGAGACAACATATGGATGTAGACAGATGGAGTACAAGAAGACAATATTGGTCATAAGCGGTGGTTACAACACACAAGCACCCTGTTGTCAAGGGTTGTTGGGGTTTTTTTTTGTAGGCATCACAGCAAGGGAGAGTTCTGAGGAGGGGTTTGAAGGAAGATAATGGGGTAGCTTTGTGAATGTTTATGGTGAGCTCTTCCTAAGCATGACGCGGAGTTATGCGAGAAAGCACAAAGGTGCTTATTTGAAAACTTAACAAATGAGTTATGGAGGCCAGCTGGCATCATGGGCCAATTGGAAGTGAGCATTGATAGCAAATGAAAGACAGACAGGGTGAAGATTGACTGTGAAGGGGCTTGAAAGTAGAAATGAGCCATTTGTTGGATATGCTAGAGGAGGGGGAGCCAGGGGTGGGATGTAAGAGGAGTAACGTTGTCGACATTGCGGTGCTGCATTGTCTCCTTTAGCTATGTTGGATTAACCACACTTCATAGTGAACTACATCAAAAATTACAGAGAGGTCAAGTAGAATGAATATCGTATCTTTACTCTGCTGTCTACAGTGTCTTCCCATTGAATACTGAGTCAGGTTCCAGGCAATCAATCTTCAAGGCATATAATGGCTGGTTCACAGCTCCTCTCCTCAGGCACAACAGTTAGTTTTTCAAATTCTCTCTAAATGCAGGAATTTGTTTTTAGGTGTTTCACAAAGTATCTGATGGGATATTTTATTCTTGAAGGGGAACTCACATCTTGCAGTACCATGAAGATATCCAGCATTTAATTGACCTCTATAAACATCATATAATATCAAGGTGCACTGCATAAATGTGGTAGCAGAGTGCAAGCTGAATTTTGGAGTGAAGGCAGTGGCTGGGAAGATTACCTTCAGTTTGGCATTAGGCACTAACTTAAACTCTCGCTGAGGTTCAAAAGCAACATCCTGTTTGATATGAGACGTCTGGTTGGACCGGTTCAAAGACTCCGATGAGCTATTTGAAAGAATATCTATCTATTCTGGGATCATTTGAATTCTGGGTCAAAGCCCATAACAAGCACTGGAAGTAAAAATACTGTTTTTCTTTTAATACACTACTCAATTGTTTAGTGGCATCACCAACAAAAGCAATATGCTGGTCTCCTTGAACATTCAACAATAAATGCGATTAGTATTTGTGTGGTTTTAAAATAAAGAAATTAATGAGAAGCAAACTTGTTTTCAGCAGTAAGATGTTTAATAGTACAGAATGGCTATATATATATATTATATAAAGGTTTTTATAATAATTCTTCTTCCACTCACCCATATGCTCCCTCTCACTTTTGTCTGTCTTCACGGTAATGTGAGTTGAACCATTAAAAATTGTTTCAAATGGGTGTATCTCTGGTTTCTCTGGTCACTGGGAAACTAAAGTCCTTTTCTTGGTCAGGAGAATTAGACAGAAAACTAAAATGTCTATTCTTTGAGTAGGTATCCTTGTGGATCCTTATCTAAGTGTACATGCATCTCATGTGCGCAAAATTGGAATTTTTGAAAAGGGATGTACCTTGAGCCAGGCCTGCACTGTGTATGCCCTCATGCCCCATCATCCGAGATTGTACAGGGCAGAGTGGCTGAAACCCTCCCTCAGTTCCATGTACCACCTGTGGCAGCAAGATGGAACAAGCAGTGACCACCCACTAACCCTTAACAGAATTCTCTCTCTTCCAGTTAGCTGGTGTTAATTACCAACAACTTCCCTTTTTAATTTTATTTTATTCCCCCCTCAAAAAAATTTTTTTTTAAATCTGTTTTTGCCTTGTTCTTTCCGCCAGTGCTTCAAGCCTAAAATGGAGATTCAAAGCCCATGGACTTCAAAGTATGCCCATCCTGAACAAACTTGGTCTGCTTACATGTTGCCTTAGCTGCCGCTGTTTTTGTCTTGGTGATAGCTGGGTGTCACACCCACTGCTCGGTGTGCCGTTCTCTTTGGACCAGGAGAAGAAAATCCAGGGGTACTCTGTTGAAGTTGTCCCTTTTCGAACAATCGATAAAACAAACGTAATTCCTTAAAGGGAATTGATGTCCTAAAAAGACATTGATCACTTTTTAGATACAAGGAATTTGGTCCCAAAAGGACATGAATAAACATATAAACCTTCTAGAATTATGAGCAATCAAACTTGCATAGCATTCCTACCTGTTCCAAAGAATTTCACCGTGTAGGTTTTCAGACTATGTAATACATTACAGATGTGTTAAAAATCAAGGAGTTGCCTATTGATTACTCCTTTGCCAGGAGGCAATCAAGTTATGAATGTGGTACTGACAAAATGGGATAACCCTTAGCTGCTCTGCATCTTCCAGGTGTCAGCAACTATCAAGCAGACTTTCTAAGTAGACAATCTGTTACCAACCATATGTGGTCTCTGAAGAGCTCCACTATCATATCAGTATTTCACCAGTGGGGGAAGTCCCATTATATACCTGTTTGCCACAAAAGAGAACACGCACTGTCTAGGCTTGTCCAAGAGAGGCATGAGCCCAGGATCCTTCTTTGTACCATGGCATCAAGGTCTTGTATGGATTTCTGCCATTTGCCCTGATACCCAGGCCAGTATGGCAAATCAGAGAGGATGCAGCCATGCTGATCCTGATAGCTCCATATTGGTTAAGATAATTCTGTTTACCAGATCTCCTTGGGATCTCTATTTAGTCTCTAATAGCACCTCCAGACTAGTATCTCAAACCTAAGGTCAGATGCTTCACCCGGAACCAAAATTGTTGCATCTGACAGACTGGATGTTGGCTGGTTGAATGCTACTGACAGTTTGCTACAAGTTCAAGAAATCCTACTGAAAAGCAGGAAGCTCTCCATGAGGAAAACTTATTTATCTAAATAGAAAAGATTTTCAGTTTGGGCAGCTAAGTGCAACCTTGACACATTGAAGGTCTCTATATCTATAATCCTTGATTATATTCTGCATTTAATTCCATTAAGGTATACCTTGCAGTGCATTTGGCGTGCCTACCCCACACATAGCTGATTCAAACAGTTTTCTCTCCATTGTATCCAGATTTTTAAAGGGGTTACTTTATTTTCCTTACAAACTCATGGAGCCCCCTCTTTGAGCCTCTCTCAATTCTTTACACCATTTCATAGAATCATAGAATATCAGGGTTGGAAGGGACCCCAGGAGGTCATCTAGTCCAACCCCCTGCTCGAAGCAGGACCAATTCCCAGTTAAATCATCCCAGCCAGGGCTTTGTCAAGCCTGACCTTAAAAACCTCTAAGGAAGGAGATTCTACCACCTCCCTAGGTAACGCATTCCAGTGTTTCACCACCCTCCTAGTGAAAAAGTTTTTCCTAATATCCAATCTAAACCTCGCCCACTGCAACTTGAGACCATTACTCCTCGTTCTGTCATCTGCTACCATTGAGAACAGTCTAGAGCCATCCTCTTTGGAACCCCCTTTCAGGCAGTTGAAAGCAGCTATCAAATCCCCCCCTCATTCTTCTCTTCTGCAGACTAAACAATCCCAGCTCCCTCAGCCTCTCCTCATAAGTCATGTGTTCTAGACCCCTAATCATTTTTGTTGCCCTTCGCTGGACTCTCTCCAATTTATCCACATCCTTCTTGTAGTGTGGGGCCCAAAACTGGACACAGTACTCCAGATGAGGCCTCACCAATGTCGAATAGAGGGGAATGATCACGTCCCTCGATCTGCTCGCTATGCCCCTACTTATACATCCCAAAATGCCATTGGCCTTCTTGGCAACAAGGGCACACTGCTGACTCATATCCAGCTTCTCATCCACTGTCACCCCTAGGTCCTTTTCCGCAGAACTGCTGCCTAACCATTCGGTCCCTAGTCTGTAGCGGTGCATTTTATTCTCTAGAAGGCTCAGCAAACTAACAAGCTGTCATCACTAACCCTCACACAATGTTTCACAGAGATGAGGTGGTGTTGAGACCTCATCCCAAATCTGACACAATTTTAGGAATAATCTGTTAATCTCTTTTTTCTTTCCAAAATCTCATTCTTCTCCATGGAAAAAAAACCGTCCACACTTTGGAAGTTTCAAGGGACTTGTTATGTTTTGATAGAACAAAGCCCTTTAGACAGACATTCTGCTGCCATAAGTAGCATTTCAAAGGGGCAGGCCATTTTTTCCAAGAGAATACCTAAATGTATTATGCAGTGTATTTCAATCATGTGTTTGTAGGGAGAGGTGTACCAGCAATCAAAGATCACAGGCTGCCTCCTCTGCATGCTTTAGAAATATTCCCCATATCTGAGATCAGCAAGACTATGTGGAGTAATCCCCTTTTGTTAAATCCTATGCCCTTGACCTGGCTGTAAGATAAGATGCCAAATGTGGTAGGGGTATATTTACAGTCACTGTTTAGTAGTAGTTAGGAATCTCTTCAATCTCACCTTTCAAATGGGGCACTGTTTATTACTTTCAAGATAAATACTCAAAGAGAGAATGGTTACTTACCTTTTATAATGGCTACTGTTCTTTGAGATCTTTTCATTCATATGGATCTAATGAGTCATCCTCCATCCCCACTTTTTTTTGGCACCCACTGTACCTGGGATTCTGAATTAGTGAGGGAACTGTGGGACAGTTGAGGCAGCTCTGCCTTTATGCCCTTGGTAGGTGGGGGCACAAGGACATGCATAGTGCAGACATGGCTCAATGGGCAGCACTGTTCAAAGATTCTGATGAGGCACTTGCACACACAGAGGGGATCCACATAGATGACAACCTCTTGAAGAACCACAGTTACTATCAAGAAAATAACTGCTGTTCTCAGTATTTAACCAGTTCATAAATGTGCTTGAACGTTACCTTGTACTCGGAATGACTTTTTTAAACCTGTTTTTCAGCTGGGAGAAAATGACTGCAATCAAGCATGCCTTACAGAGGGATATTTTCACTCCAAATGATGAACGTTTATTGAGCATTGTGAATGTGTGCAAAGCAGGCAAAAAGAAGAGAAACTGCTTTTTGTGTGCCACAGGTATGCATGTTGATTGAGAGAGACAGCAAAGTATTTCTTTTCATTGTCTTTGAGTATTTTTCACTTTAAGTATAGTAAAATGAATAGTTATATTTAATTTCTTTAAGTGGCAACTGCTTTTCATGCTCAGCCTGTTCCTTTCCTGTATAGAGAACATGTACTTCCATTTATTATAAATGGATGGAATCAGTTAGGGTTTAGAGTGAAAATAAATTAGTCATGTTTTCATAACAAAAAAAGCTTTAGTATTAAAGCCCTGCTGGACCCTGCTCCAGGCATCATCTTAGAAGGAGAGCTTGTCAAGCCAGCCAGTGACCTGAGGGTTTAGGATTTAATTCCCTAAATTCCTAGTTTAGAGGCAGGTAAGAATAGCATTACTGGCTGGGAATGATTTAAGTTCAGCATAGCTGTTTAGGCTCAACACCTTAAATAATGCTGGTTACTTTCAAAGGGAAGGGAGAGGGGCTGGGGTGTACTGATTAGAAGCTGGGGCAGGGAGCTCCGGGGAAATGTGAGTGCTATCTTGTTGTGCTTTATACTTTTGGTCCTTTGTATCTGAGTTTAGTTGCAGGCCTTCCAAGTAGTAGAAGCTTCTGGCAAATTAGTGTCAATTTGGCCTAACCCAGAACCCTTGCAAACAAAAACCAAACCAACCCCACCACATAATAACCCTAACCAGAGAGGGCAATTTTATATTCAAACCTGATTCTTCAGTGATTTATTTATTTTTTAACTGTTACACCCCAATCCTGCGATAATGTAACTGTGGATACTGATTGGGCTACCTATGTTGTAAGCTCTTTAGGGCAGGGACTATCTTTTTGGTCTGTGTTTTTAGAGCACATAGTGCAATGAGGTCCTGGTCCATAACTGGGGCTCATAGGTGCTATGATAATACAAATTAATAAATAATAATAATATATTATGTCAGGCCCATATTTGTGGGGGGTTTAATTTTGGTTGTGTCAGTCCTTGGTTCTGTTTTACATTATAGATGCAGCTTTGCTCTTTAAACTCATCACTTTATTTTAGGGCTACTATAAGAAAACAAATGCCTACACCGCACTGTAGCTGATTTTAGAAGTTATGCAGTGATACATGTCTGTGTCTGAAGGAATCCCTTTACAACACATAGAGACTTTAAGCTAACTGTCTGAAAGGGAAAATCTGTTCAGAATCACAGATGCAAATGTAGACAAGAAGTTGACATTACTACTGGTTAAAATAGCCCCTACTCTTTGCTGAAAGTAATTCTGTACTTAACAGTGACAACAGAACGTCCAGTGCAAGTAAATGTGGTCAAGGTGAAGAAATCTGATAAGGGCGATTTCTACAAAAGACAGACAGCATGGGCACTTCGAGATCTTGCTGTTGTTGATGCCAAAGATGCTGTTAAAGTATGTATTCATTCACGCTTGTGTGACCTGTGTTTAGAATGTGTCTCCCTAACTATATAGAGACTTTAAAAGTTTTTCATTCAGAGCTCTGTCGAGTCCAAGTTAACTTCTTAACTGTGAGCTACACAAAGTTTAGATTCTAACGTCACATGAGGGTTGGGAACTGGGACGGCATCCATCTGTCCATTTTGCGTGTGCCCTAATCTGCCTTGCCCAAATCTGAACTCCAGTGAGGGGGAGCTAAGCCTGAGGAGCCAGAAGAGCCATGTGATAGTATTCTCAATATCTATTCTACATAGTCTGTCAGAGACATCTCAGGTAGATAGAGCTTGGCTTGTGTGCAAGAACTTGTGAGAGAATACTACTTGTTTTCGCCAGTTTGAGTGCTGTATAAAATCTTTACTCCTCCAAATTCAGGTCCCCTTGAAATGGACTACCTTTGTAGAATGAAAGCATTACTGCTGATATATAATTCATGCTAGATTTTAAGTAATGCTTGTACCAGAAGGCACTTTGAAACCGTGGTGATGAGCAATATATAAGAACCTAGATAGAGCTGTCTAAAACAAATGTACTTGGTAATAAGATACATTTTTGTAAACCATCCCCAAGAAATGAGAACATTAACCCATCTGTTGAAAAGTATATGGCCCTGAGGTATTTTGCCTCTTCATAAATCCTAGATTATGCATGCCCACAACAGTAACTTGGTTTTGGCCCTGGAAAATCATCTCTGTTCTGTAGAAGGTAACTTTTCCTTCTTTTTGTTAAGTATTTCATACCTCAGAACTTGGTGTGTAACTGGAGATGGGAGTGGTGGGGACAAAACGCAGGGCAGGTCTACATTAGAGCACTACATTGGCACAGCTGCACCCCTGTGGTGCGTCTGGTGAAGATGCGCTCTGCTGACAGGACAGCGCTCTTCCGTTGGCATAATTACTCCACCTCCGCAAAAGGCGGAAGCTATGTTGATGGGAGAATGCCTCCTGCCAACGTAGTGCCGGTGTGGACAGCGCTTAAGTCAACGTAACTTCCGTCGCTCAAGGGTTGTCTTTTTTCACACCCCTGAGCGACGTAAATTACATTGACTGAAGTGGTAGTGTAGACCAGCCCACACGTTACTCGTTCTTTCTTCCCTTTAATGTTCTGCCTATTGGCATTATATATGAATAATCAAAAAAGTTATTTAGATTTACCGGCTTGTAGAAGATTTCCATCAAGAGTAGGGTGAATACACTTAACTTTATTACTCCTGTAATATATGTTTAACACACACGTTGGTTGTAACTTTTAAGAAGAGTACAATTAAAAAGAAAATCTACATTTAATTTAGGGAAATAACTTCCTTATGGGTCAGGGTTCCTCTAAAAGTATTGTTTCTATCAAGGCTTTACTTTCAGAGCAAGTGACTTTACTCCGTGGAAGCTAATATGTCTCTGAAGTGTGTGTGTTCTCTATGTATGTCCTATTTTTAAGCTATTTATAAATAGCTTATAAAAACTATGGTTGCAAAGTCAAGCACTCAAAAGTTAAGAAAAGCCAGAATTAACATTGCCTGTGCACCTTTAATTTAATTCAGCTCCCTTGTGAGAATGCATTATTACAATAGTTTTAATTACAGGATCACACACTATTTTTTTCACAGGACCCTTGCCTTTCACATCGCACATCATCTATAATGCACATCACCCATAAAATTGTGTATGCGTGCACACTTTTTATAATGTATCATTAATCATCACACTTAGCAGCTGATACTGACGAGGCAACTGAGATTCTTTTATAGTGCTTTGTGGGAAATAGTCCTAATGAAGATTTCATTTCCCATCATGTCCAGTTTCATGTGCCAATTGCTTGTAGGAGAAACATTAGCGGCAATACAAGTAATGTGTCGCAGTAAATGCTAGTCTAATTTGCAAGAATGTATAGCGTTAAGAGGATGTGAAACTTTCACTGGAGGAAAGGTAGGTATTCTAAAGTGCTTAGACGAGTTTAAATCAGGCTATGTTCAGTACAGTTGATGCTGGATATATAAGTGGCTAATGAAAGGAAGCTTTTAATCCAGTGTAATCAAGGCAGCGTTCTCATTGGTGGGTGCAACAAGATAAATGTAATAATAAAATTGAAATTGTTTACTTTTTGTAAGTGACTTATTACATCAAAAACTAAAACCCTATCTTGCAATATAAATGCAGCTCATTGGTTCTCTATCCACCAGTGCTCAAATCCTACAGTGATGGGAGCAACTACAAAGCTCTAAAATGCAGAAAAAGTCCATAGTTCTGCTCAAGATGCAGTAACAGATGCGTTCCGATTGTATTGGGGCAAAGATCAACTGTATGCCTTCCTGTTGGTTCCATTGCTGCTTCTGGTGGTCAGAAAGATAAGACAGGACAAGGCGTAGGTCATTTTGGTTGCACCATGTTGGGCAAATAGTACTGGTAAATGAATCTCCAAGATCTGTCACAGGAGTCTTCATATCCTGTGAGAATGTCACCAGATCTAGTTCAAGAAAATGGTTTTGTTCTTCATGCAAATCTGTAATCTCTTTACCTCAAGGTTTGAATTATGCTTTTCCCATCATACAGTATGTCATAAATATAAAGGGAAGGGTAAACCCCTTTGAAATCCCTCCTGGCCAAGGGAAAGCTCCTCTCACCTGTAAAGGGTTAAGAAGCTAAAGGTAACCTCGCTGGCACCTGACCAAAATGACCAATGAGGAGACAAGATACTTTCAAAAGCTGGGAGGAGGGAGAGGAACAAAGGGTCTGTCTGTGTGTGCTCTTGCCAGAGACAGAACAGGAATGGAGTCTTAGAACTTTTAGTAAGTAATCTAGCTAGGTATGTGTTAGATTATGATTTCTTTAAATGGCTGAGAAAAGAATTGTGCTGAATAGAATAACTATTTCTGTCTGTATATCTTTTTTGTAACTTAAGGTTTTGCCTAGAGGGGTTCTCTATGTTTTTGAATCTAATTACCCTGTAAGATATCTACATCCTGATTTTACAGGGGGGATTTCTTTATTTCTATTTACTTCTATTTTTTATTAAAAGTCTTCTTGTAAAAACTGAATGCTTTTTCATTGTTCTCAGATCCAAGGGTTTGGGTCTGTGGTCACCTATGCAAATTGGTGAGGCTTTTTACTAAACCTTGTCCAGGAAGTGGGGTGCAAGGTTTTGGGAAGTATTTTGGGGGGACAGACGCGTCCAAACAGCTCTTCCCCAGTAACCAGTAATTGTTTGGTGGTGGTAGCGGCCATTCCAAGGATAACGGGTGTAATATTTTGTACCTTGGGGAAGTTTTGACCTAAGCTGGTAAAGATAAGCTTAGGAGGTTTTTCATGCAGGTCCCCACATCTGTACCCTAGAGTTCAGAGTGGGGGAGGAACCTGACACAGTATATTTTGGAATGTATATATATTGGAATATTTACCTGAAGTCCCTGAGCCTCTCCATGATCAAAGTACACTTGTATGTCTGCTATCTCAGCACAACACCCACTAATTGACAGCAGTAAAGCTTCCATCTGTCCCACCATCAGACCACTTTTTTAAAAACTAGAAACTGTAATTCCACTATTTGGAAAACCAATTGAGCCTGATGAGTTTTCTCTTGTCTTTTGCAGGAAAATCCTGAATTTGACTTGCATTTCGACAAAGTGTACAAATGGGTTGCCAGCAGCACAGCAGAAAAGAACACTTTCATTTCATGTATCTGGAAACTGAACCAGAGATATCTTAGAAAGAAAATTGACTTCATAAATGTTAGTGCCCAGCTTTTGGAAGGTAACATTCAATAATGGTGTTTATTTTAAAACAAACAAAACTTACCATTTTACACCATCATGGTAAAAGATATTCACTAAAGTGTATAAAAAGCAAATGCAAGGTCTGGTTTTGGAATACTAACTAATTCAATTGGTCGACTTAAATACTAGGAACTATATCTCTCCACATTTACTACACTATTGGTAAAGGTAGCTTCAAATGAACAAGTATGTATTGTGGGGAAAGCAGGTTCACTATTCTAACAAATAGAACAAGACATTTTCTACAAATGAAACAGTCTGTATGCTGGAGACACAGAATAATTTGTGAATATTGAAATATTCACTAACTCCCTAAAACAATAAAGATAATGTATAAGGTTTTACATAGTAAATCTAAGAGGAGGAGAACTTTGTGCAGTTGTATAAATCTTACTATGTTATACAAATGTGTGTAAACTTCATTTTTTGCATTTGTTTAGGATTATTCCAGGGTAATCTAATACTCTTTTTTTATATAAATCTTGGAATACCTTTGTAGGATTTAATTGCATGTAGTGACTAATCCATTTTATTTGAGCAGTCTTTGATGTAACAGGGTAAACTTATTCTGTATCATCATAATATAAGTAAAACTGTAAAAGGCTAAAACATTTAGATGGCTAGAATCTGGTATAAATTGCAGTGAAATGATGGCACTTCATGGATTGATTTAATCAGAAATGGCAAAAGTCATATGCTCGTATTAAACAATTAAAAGGACTTGTGTAGATACGCTTGAGTTCAAGCCATTAGACTCAAGTGGTATTTACAGGTGAAAAACTCCTTGGGAACCTACTTTTTTAATGTTGAACTCAAATTTTTCAAAACTTGTGATGTTGTAACATTCAACCTTGTTGCCATTTAAAAAAACACACACAATGTTCATACTCTGCCCAGCTAATAATCTTTGCTTCCTTTCCTCTGCTTTTTTCACACCTTTTTATTCTCCAGAACTACCTAAAGTTGCAGAAGGTGCGTAACACCTTTTCCTTTATTCTTTTGTGTAATGATTTTTTTGGTAATTAAGTTGCTTTTGTTCTCTTGAAATAATTCATTGAATATCTTTTCAAATTGCTAGAGAAAGCAAGTTTCAGGTGTGTGATAGAAGGTGTATGGGACTATATTAATGTCTTGTATGCTTTTTTGATCACTGTCTTCAAACTGTTTCCATAAGCTTACTACTGTGACAGCAAAAGAACACTGAAACCTGTGGCAGATTTCAGCTAATATTTGTTTGGATTATTTTAATCAATGTCTTTAGGTGTAATCCTCATTTCCTTCATTGTTTCCTGTTCCTGTGGGGAAATTTCTGTTGAGCATCAATTTTACTCTTACTCAGTGAATTCAGTTTCTATTTATAGAACAGTTTTTTCTTCTGTGAATTACTCTTAGCCTATTTTAGAGGCAGAGGGAAAGATTTACAAAAATGAGTGCCTAAGGTTTGGCTCCTAAATACTAAATAAGTGGCTTGATTTTTGGGTGGTGGAAGGGCAGTGTTAAGAACCCAGCATCTTTCACCAACTTCAGTGGAATTTGTTGGGTGCTTCGTACCCTGGAAAATCAGGCCACTTATTTAGGTGTTTAACTTCAGGCATTTTGTAAAAGAAAACCTTCTTTTACAAAAGTATTCTCAAGCTCAGGATTAATGCAGCGCTAATTAATCTGCATATCAAATTAGAATTTGGGTGTCATAATTTTTCTATCGGCATTTCTACAAATTTCCAATCATTTTTGCTACCAAGAGTGACAAATGTTAGCACTTTCAATTTAAAGTAATTACCAATAAACAGCACTGCCAACCGCATGCATTCAAAAATCATTACTCAGGCTCCAAAACTATGAGATTTGCTTAAAAATCATGAAATTAATGAAAAATATTTGGACGCATCTGTGCATTTTCTCCCTGCTCATTCAAAAAGATCAGCCAATTAGGGCTCATTTGGTTTTGTGTTAGCGGCTACCATTTTGGAATTAGTAAACTGCCTTTGTGGGCTCCACTGGATTTAACTCAGTGAGATGTGTTGCGGAAAATTGTTTACATCTACCTGTGAGCTGAACCTTGGCACCTAATGGCTGGAAAGGCCAGTGTGGGAGGTTTGAGACCTATTATTCAGGATTGTGAAAGTAGGATGTGGCCCTGCCAAAGAAACAATCTCTTGACATTAACTATCTTGCCAATTGCTACCCTTTATCTAACTTTCCGTCGTGGGTAATAGAGTAAGTCCCCTTGCTTCTTGAACTCATACGTGGCCTCCAATTCTACTAATTTGTTTTAGTATAAAGGTGGAGATATCATCTGTAGTTGGTGATCTTCTCCTAGCAGTCTACATAGGTAATATCCTGGCTGAGTCTGCTAACTGTATGAGCAGTCTTCAGTAGCAGTGACCATGAGGCTTTCTTGGCTTGCTTGTGGAATTGGGTAGGAATGAACTGGGAATGTCTTGTGATGTGTTACTGAAATTCTCCAAACTTTCTTGGTGTGAAGGTTTAACTTTGGCTGTTATACCCTACAAAAGATTTTGAAGTAAATATAGGGCTTAGCCCACATGCATGCTTGTTTGTTTTTGTATTGTATTGTATTGTGTGTGTTTCCTTTCCTCTATTTGATGTGGCCTTGTCTTTAAGTCTAATCTAATTACTTTTGTTTAAAGGAGGTTGAATTATCTATCTCCATTTAAAATGGTAGCACTTTTTTCTGTATTTTTTTATTACAAAAATGAATTCATTGTGGCTTTCCCCCCCTTCCCCTTATAAGAATCTGTTCCAAGTGGAGAAAATCAGAGTGTAACAGGAGGAGATGAAGAAGCTGTGGATGAGTATCAAGAATTAAATGCAAGAGAGGAACAGGACATTGAAATAATGATGGAAGGTTGTGAATATGCCATTTCTAACGCTGAAGCCTTTGCAGAAAAGTTATCCAGAGAGCTGCAGGTGTTAGATGGGGTAAGGATTTCTTGTTTGTTTTTTTTTTTAAGTGTTATAATGAATTAGCATACCTTGTTAAATTCAGTTGAGTGCATTTTTGCCCACGGCAGTATAATTTAACTAGTAACTGAAAGCTGGAGCTATTGCACAGGTGTAATTCATAAAAAATGTGGTGGTGGTTTTTTTTGTTTTTAAAATAGGCCAAAAATGGCTGAGAACTTAAATTGTATGGTATGAGACCACGAATCCCAGTGGTAATTGAACCTGTTCATATTCTAAACAAAAAGAGCTCTCAACAATTCTTGTAGCTGCTTCCATCTCATCATGTTGATTCAACAGACATTCTTGGCTTCAGAGTGACACACGGAGACACAATCGTGGAATCTTAATATATGGACTTCTGCTTTGTGCATTTATTACATTTTATATTTGTCTGAACATGTACAGTGCATTTTAAAGTAGAGGCTAAAGAAAGAGTATCTTGCATATTACAGTTAACTGGATACATATATTGCTATCTTTGTACAGAAGAATTGCATGTTCACTAGTACCTAAATTAAAGAACTTTAAAGCCATTTCCACGCCTTCTAAAATGAGCCGAATGGACATCAGGTGAAGAATAGAGAAGGAAAAGGAAGGCATTCTAGAAGAGGTTTTCTTCTTCCAAAAAACAAATGAAGGAAAATTGTGATCCATAAATATATGTTTAGTAAACCAACTATGAAATATGTAAATCGACTAATAAAAAGATAAGCAAATTGTGATGAGTCCACTCTATACAATGAGAACACTATAAAATAAATTGAGACAATAACAGAGGTGTTAACTTTTAAAAGAATATTCCGCTCACCTTAGGATAGGGTGACAAGCAGTGTCAGCTAGGAGATTTGGATTAATGCAACAGTATTGCAGAATTGGACTGACTGATCTTAGACAGTAACTTATTTAAAAAAAACAAAACAAACTGCCAGTGCTTTGTCACATAGTGAACTTAATGAAAGTGGGGCTGACTCGGTGATTCCAAAATGCAGAACAGACAGCTTTTAACTGTCTAAACTATATTTTTGCCTTACGCTTGCAAGTTGTTTTTTCCTGGATGGGGTTGATTTATGTAGAAACATGGTTGTATTACCAATTAAACAGTTTCCCTAACTCCAGCTTTCCATAGGGCAAAACCATAAAATATTAATCACAGGGACCAAAGTGTTAAAACTATTCTGTGACTATAGCCTTTGCATGCAGACTAATATTAGAATACTGAGAAAACTAGAACAAAACTTTATTCTTACTGATTTTTCATAAGAAGAGGATTCCACACTCTGCCATGGCCTAAGGAACCTACTCTGTGGTCAGTAATACTTAAAATATTAATATTTTAACATAATTGAAATTGAGAGAGCCAGAACAACCTAACATTTTGGGAGGTACAGTATTTGATAGTCATGAGGGTGCCATGTAAAAAAACGTATAAAATTGTTATTCACAAACTATTTGCTCTGCAGGCAAACATCCAGTCAATCATGGCCTCTGAGAAACAAGTGAACATCCTGATGACGCTGCTGGATGAGGCTCTGAAGGAAGTAGATCAAATTGAGCTGAAGCTGAGCAGTTATGAGGAAATGCTACAGAGTGTAAAAGAGCAAATGGATCAGATCTCAGAAAGCAACCACCTAATTCATCTCAGCAACACGAATAATGTGAAGCTGCTGTCGGAGATAGAATTCCTAGTTGTAAGCATGTTAATTATGGCCTGAAATCTGAAACCTTTTGTATTGGGAAGTAACTATTTATTTTTAGAAGTGTCTTATAATAGCTGTCTTCTTCTAATAGAATAGCATGAAACTAAACTGTGAGCCAGTGCTTTGCTTATATACTGTACTTGTATGTTATCTTTTAGAATCATATGGATTTGGCAAAAGGTCACATAAAGGCCCTCCAGGAGGGGGATCTGGCGTCTTCTCGAGGCATTGAAGCCTGCACTAATGCAGCTGATGCCCTTTTGCAGTGTATGAATGTAGCTCTTCGACCAGGTAACGCTTTTATTAAATAAAATAAGGGAAAATTTAATACTCTCATTGTTACAGTAGTACCTCTCCTTTCAGGTTTTTGGATAGTTTTTCCACACATAGGGAATCTTGCTCTGTAGCTTCTTCCACTCCTAACAAAAAACCATAAGTCTTAAAATATTTTCTGTTGTGATTTTTAGGACATGATATGCTTTATGCAGTCAAACAGCAAAAACAGCGGTTCAGTGACCTACGTGAACAATTTGCAAGGAGACTTGCCAGTCATCTGAACAATGTGTTCGTTCAGCAGGTAACTTACTTGGCTTCTTTAATCTGGAAGTTTGCAGCTAGATGGCCTTTTTGAAAACTTTGAAAACAAACCATTATAAAGTTTGATGTGATTAACTGAAATCCAAGTACATTTTCTGATCCACATGATAACTTACCTGACTTTGACACATTTATTTACAATAGTCTAATTGTGTAGAATACTAAATTCAAGTAGAGAGATTTCTAATGGTTTCTAACAACTAGACCCCACAGAAATGACCATCTATACGTTGTTGCACAAAATGATCTATATTAAATTTGACATGTACCTTAAGGTTCAGTTTTGTGATATAACCATAGTCATTTATTTTAGCCTTAAAGTTCGATAGCTAAAACAACAAAGAGCAATAGTCAGAGCCAGACTGAGTATTAAAAGATGGACCCTTCCCTACCACAGAAGGGCCCATCTCCACTACAGATATAATTGCATCAAGGAAATTGTATTATGACTATTTGCAAATCTATGGTTATGCCACTGTTCCAGTTCTTCATGTAGCTTGGTTACAAAACATGGCTGAATTTCAGTCTATGCAACAAATTGGAATTATGATATAAGCATGGATTTGGACATAAGGTAAATAGGCTGCCTGATATGATTGTATTTGTAGCAGGGATGAGTCCTACACAATTTAGTAGGACTTTGATCTAGATATTTCTTGTAGTGGAGCAAGTGGCATACTCCCCGTTCTGTAGTTGAATTGTTCTAAAATCGTAAGTGAAGTAACTTTTTAAAATCTTACAATATGGGTGGAGGAGGTTTGAACTGAGGACTTGTAGAAGGTGTTGGATTAAAGTGTTTACAGGGCTAGTTTCAAGCAGAGGAGACTAAAAAAACTCTTGCTTCTGCAATTCTGTGGGGTTTTTTTTGTATGGACCTTGCAGCAAGTAGAATTGTCTTGCTGTGGTTTTGATGATAGTTTTAAATTATTTCAAATTCATATTGTGCTGAACTTGTTTTCTGTGTGGGGTTGTGGGATTTTCTAGCACCTTTCAATTTTCAACTTTTTTTTTTTTTTTGTAATTATTCCTGTATTTTATCTCCAATTAGTTTGCTCAGACCCTTCTTCAGCTCTATAACAGGTCCTACTATCTTTCGGTTTCTGTGAGTACATCAGGTTTGATTCAAGCTTCTCTAATTTTATTTTGTTTTTAAAAGCTTGCTAAATCTAACTAGTAGTTGCAGCTTTGGCTTCATAAATAGGAAACTTGCCTTTACTGATTGCAGGGTATAAGGGCTCCTCCTCCAATGTTCATATCCGCACTCAAGCTTTGTGTGTCTGTTAGTGGACAGACAACATTCACATGGCCTCTGAGGCATAACTAAGGTAGTGAAGTGACAAGTTGCATGAAGAAAACTATTATTACATTTGCCACAAAATGAAAATGTTTGTGCATAACCAATACAAACAGCACCAAACAAAAAAAGCTGGCTGAGATGCTAACTAGTAGTTTTTCTAGGTATTGCAGAAAATGAAGTTTTTCCAAATAGAGTAATGCAGGATAATCCCATGTGCACATGACATTGTATTTGGCAGTGCAGGTCCTCCCTATAATGGCAAGTATTTCTCTACTCTGTAAAATAACTTGCTGGATCTGCTTAGGAATTGTCATTGTTAGCTTCTGCTCTTTCTAATTTTTTTATCCTCCCTTACATTTAAAAAAAACCCCAAATCTGTGGCATCCCACTTCTTCATCTATCAGTGTGTCTAAATGAACAGGTAGAGACAATAGTGTTCAAGTCCTATGTAAATGGTTCTCATTAGAGAAGCTGGAATGTTGGATTTGCTGGACAGTGCAGTAAGAGGATGGTTGTGTATTTAAGGGCAGATTTATTGAGAACTTGCTTTTCTAATTTTATGCTCCTGATAGTGCTTTTTTATAAAAGTTTAGAGAGAGTTAGCTCTACTTACTACACGTAATATATTGGTTGCGTTCATCTGATCTATCACTTAGCTAAACCATACTGTTGTTTTTATACTGGAGGAAACTTCAGAGGGAGGACATATAAATAAACAGTAAACTTACTCAGCCAGTCATATATTCTGTGTTACCTTTGCAAATATTTCTAATCTTTATGCCTGGATAAGTGCTGACACAAGTCCAGTTTCTTCTTTTGCTTAATCCTTCAGTGAACACATTGTGAGGGTGCAAATTCAAAACCCATTCAGCAGATCTGAGTGATTTCGCTACAGGTTCAAGTAGGAAAAACTGATGGACTGGGAAGGAATATGCCCTTGTTTAAATTCTCATCTTCCAGTGTAGCAGGAACAACAACAAATTATACTTTAAATTTAGCATGTTGGACAGTGGCCCATCTGTTGTGTCAAAGGTATTGGTTTATAAGATGGCATACTGTCTTACTGGGCAGTTGGATGAATTCAGTGCAGAGGTTGCCCATTTAAATGTATATGAAAAACGTCTCTAACTGGCGCATTTTCTCTTGTCTTTAACATCTTGTTGAGAGTTGCACTTTTTGTTTAGAATTACTTGCGTGATTTATTTGAATTCCTCATGTAAGCACTTTTCTTGTTTCATTAAGAAGCAGTCCTAAACCAGAAAAGGCAATGTGAAAACATGAAGCAGTTCAGTCTTCTCCTCATATATACAATCAATTTATATTGTCAGCTGGATTTATTTAGACATGATAAAGAGAGAATAAACTCCAATGGATTTATCTAAGCTTAGATATCTTAACCTTGAAACTATAATGCAGCTTGTTTCATTTTAAAAACAGAGTTTAGGTACCAGTGCATTCACATATATTTTTATTTTAAAAGATTAATACAAGAAATTCTAGAAATCTGTTGACATTTTAAACAGAAAAATGCAACTCCAGATTAGAGCTCATTGCATTTGCAAAAAAAAAGTCTGCAGTTACTGTTGCTAACATTCAGCAGTTGATATAGTTAAACATTTACTTGTCTGTGTTCTAATCTTATCTTGTTTTCTAAACTTGTATTTTATTAAATAAAATACATCTGTAACTTTAGGATGTTATCAGGTTCTATTAGTAAGGAAAACATAAATCAGCAGGGCTTTCTTCTTTTGGAACAGTGGACAGCAAACTTGATAAAAGCTTGCAGTGCAACATGATAAAAAAACTGTGTAATTTTGTGCTGTATATGTATCTAGGTGGTAGTACACTGAACCAGAGGTGGTACTCCTTTTTATGTGGCATTTTTGGAGGAAAAACACATATTAGTTCTGGGCCCCTAGATACTAGAATTTAAACAAACTGGATGTCATTTGGAGCAGAGCAACAGAAAATATGAAGATGGAGGGATTGACTTGGAAGGAGAAATAAGGAGAACGAAGTTAACTTTGATAGACCATGGCTAAAGGGTGAACACGATCAACTGTAACTATGTGAAGAATGCTAATACCAAGCAGAGAGGGAAATTCTTTGATCTGGTACAAGAGGAGCATGAATCGGAATTATGGGATGAAATAAGCAAAGGAAATTTTGGCTGAATATCTGAGAATGTCCTAACAATAACATCAAGTAAATTGTACAGTAGTCTCGCAAGAGATGTGATGGAAGCTCCAACAGTTGAGTCTGGACTAAACAAAAACAACTGAAATATATATTGTAGGAAACAAGGCTGCATAGTAGGAGGATGAAATAGATGACTAAGAGGTTTTCTGCATTGAATTTCTATGAAAACCCTACCTTAAAAAAGGTGGGGGGCATCAAAGAGCAATTAAGAATATTTTGCTATTACTGAACTAATATACAACCTTTTAACAGTGTTAACTCCCTAACAAATGGGAAGATAATTGCTGCTGTTGATATAATATATTACTTACTCTTGTTTGTTTAAGCCCAGCTGATCCCTGGTTTTTTAATTGTTTTGTTTTAAATAAATATGCAACAGTAAAGACAAACAATACTTAATATGACTACAAAGATCACAGTTTCTCCTCATTCAGCAGAGGTGACTCAAGTGTGGCCTGTGCCCATCTGTGCATATACCAAGGTGTGGCCTGCCTCCTGCAACTCTCAACGTCACTAGTTTCAAGATTTCAGCTGGGTTTTAGAGAAAAATAATTTATCTGAATGTGTGAACTTACTCTTTGCTGGGACAAATAAGAAAAGTCATCTCAATCTAGGAATCATTTTAATGTAATCTGCTACCTCATGCTGTATCCCAAATTGGATGTAGTTTTCTTTATCATTCTGATTCTGCGAAAGGAGGTTGTAATAATAATAATAATAATAAAAAAATCATAGTTTGACTAGTTTGTCTAAAGCATTTTAAATACACTGAATTGTTTGGATTGCAGTGTTTAGTTAAGGTTACTTTTCAGTTAATGTGTATATGGAATGTCCAGGTTTAAGTCTCTTAATTTAAATTAGATGTCCATGACTATATCACAGTTGAAAACTACAAAGATTTTGAGTTCTACACACTTCTTTTACAGACATTGGACCTAATTCCCAAGTCTGTCTGAACTGTACTTGGTATGTACTTGATACAGTGGGAAAGGGCTATGGAGGAAGATGGCCCTAAGTCATCTTTTTTTGTTTCTGTGTTCTAGGTACCAAACTGGCATCCATGTAACTTAAAGCAGCCTAATGGCTGCTCTAAACTACACAAACTAAAATAATCTTAGGGCCACCCTGCCAAATGGTCACCCCCATGCCACTTCTGACCTGCTCAAGAATGCCCCTCTATCTGGAGAGAGTGGCTGACAGTGGTTTAAGCTGACTTTACACTACTTGAAAATTCTGTTATGTCACAGGAATCACTGGCTGCCTAATCAGGGCAGTTTGTGTGCCCTTTACACTACCAGAAAAGCACAAAAGTTATAGATGTGAGGGCCAAGATCTGGTCCATAGATTAGTTGTGAACCAGAGGAAAATTTTCCTCCTACATAGTGCAACAAAGTATATAGTGACTTAAAAAAAATTTAAAAATGAAATCTGTGAAATCTAACCTTGAATTGAGCTAATAATCATACAGTCTACTATGTCTCCAGAGTGATTTGTCATCTCAACTTGTATTAAACCAGTGGTCTCCAACCTTTTTACGCACAAGATCACTTTTTGAATTTAAGTGCAATCCAGGATCTATCCCGCCCCTTCCCTGAAGGCCCCCGCCCCACTCATTTTCACTGGGCAGGGGTTTGGGAGGGGGTGCAGGTTCTGGGCTGGGGCAGAGTGTTGGGGTGCAGGAGGGGGTATGGGTTGCTGGCTCGGGGGGGGGGGTCGGGTTGGGGCAGGGCTCCCGGAAGAGGCCAGTGCGCCCCTGCCCTCCTCTGCAGGCATCGCCCCCACAGCTTCTGTCGGCCACAGTTCCTCATTCCTGGCCAATGGGAGCTGTGGGGGCAGTACTTGAAGGCAAGAGCAGTATGTAGAGGGAGGCCCCTCCCCTGGGGCTGGAGGGGTGTGCCGGCGGCTTCTGGGAGTGGCCTGGGACTGGGGCAGGCAGGGAGCCTGCCTTAATGGTAGCTCTGCTGTGCTGCCGGACTTTTAGCCAGCGGTTGTGATTGAGTGGGAGAGGCTCCAGGATTGACCAGTCGATTGCAATTGACTGGTTGGTGACCACTGTATTAAACACACAAAAACCCTTACTTTAAAAGAACATTATTAAGGTTGCAAAGATATGCACTCAAAAATTAGGAAATACCAGAATTAAGGTTCTCTGTACCACCTTAATTCAGTCCCCTTGTTCATGTGCATTAAGATACAGTTTTAATTACATGATTGCATACTATTTTTTTTCCACAGGCCCTCTGTCAGTTACTGTACAAGATGGACTATGCTCTAGGGATAAATCAGGGTTTTATAGTGAAGGAGGCAGTTGTCTGGTTCATTTCTTGCAGAAGTTAAAAGGCGTGAAGTGAATGAGGCAGTGGATTGCAGGAAGAGTGGATGATTAAGGCAGCTGAATGCTGCTCTTGGAAACTGAATTCTATCCCTGCCCCTGCCCCAGGTTTCCTGTGTGATCCTGGACAGTCACTTAAACTAGTCTTTTCACAGGTGGTTACTGTGTTCCTCATTTTCTCTGGGTGCTTGACTTGAGACCCTGAGGGTCTGTTTGCAGAAAGCTGAGTTAGACTTCTCATCCTAGTCCCAGTTCCCCCATCCCCTCAGCTCCTTGTCCAGTCAATCCCAGCTCCCCTTCCCCGCTCCTCATCCAATCTGCCTCTCTCCACATTCTCTGCCTCTGGTCCTCCTTCTCCTCCTCCCGCATTTCATGCCCTCACTGGCTTCCAGTCCCTGTTTCCATCACCAGACTCTTCATCCAATCTCAGTGGTTGCCTCGCCCCCACTCCTCTTTGCCTTGCCAGTCCAGTTCTCTGCTCGCACCTTGGCTTTTCATCAAATCTGTTTCCCCAGTTCCCATACTTCATTCCTTCCCCACCTCACTAGTTCTCAGTCCCAGTTTCCTTGCTCAAACAGTTCCTGTCTTCCCATGTAGCTCTTCGTTTCATATTGAGTCCTTCCTCCATTGCCTTCCTTGTCTAATCTGTTCAGTCTCCTTTCCCTGCCAGTCTCTCGCCCCTGCCCCTGCTCCTCGTCTCAATCTTAATTATCGCACACCCCCAATCTGACTCTTATCCCCTCTGCTTTCAAATCAGATAGCTTCCTCTATGCTTCCTGGGCTTCAGCAGGAGGAACATTGAGACCAGAAGAGGGACAGTTTTTTGTTTTTCATTTCTGGTCCAGACCCAGTCTGGCCTGCAGCAGCAATTGCAGAGAAAGTCTTGTTACCTCCTGTAGCCCAGGGCTGGAGCTTGCTCAGTTGCTCAATACAGATGGGAATCTTCAGTGAGTTTAGATGCTAAATTCAGTCAAGACTCTGCTGCGTATGTGCAAATTATAATTTTTCAGACGCTTATAACTTGGCCAAATTTGGTCTGATATTCACAGGGACACCAAAAGACAAATCCATGATATAAAGGTCACCCCCATTCTCCCACCCTGCCAAATTTCAGGTCCAAGCTCTACAACATGGGGACACTAGAATATCTCAGTTAAAGTCATCAGAATTTTTTAACACAAGCAAAATAACATAGTATTTTTTCTGAATGGGTAAATGGTTTTGGTTGAAATTAAAAAAAATAAATAAAAATCGGTTTTGAGGCAGACACCTGGCATAGAAAATTTCAGCCCCAATGGTTAAAGTATGTCATAGTTATAAGCAACTGAAAATCAGGCCTTCTAATGGGAAATATTGGGCAACTTCAATAGGCAGTGCTACCAGCCCTGAGTATGGTATAGTAATGTCTCTGTATTGTTGTTTGTATTATAACGGTCCCCAAAGGTCCCATCTGAAATCAGGTCCCCGATGTAATCCAGCTCTTTTAATCAGTGGATTACAAAACATTTTACAAAGGAGGTTGGTATCATCACCGTTTTACAGATGGGCTAACTGAGGCACAGAGGGGCAGTGACTTGCCAAAGATCACCCAGCAGGCCAGTGGCAGAGTTAGGAATGGAACCCAGATCTATCAAGTCGTAGTCCAATGTCCTAGTCACTAGGCCAACGCAGGATATCATTTAAGCTATTAACTGCAGATAAATGACATGTGAAAGAAGTAATTTTCAGTTTCACTTTTCTGTTTTCTTTTGTTTATCTGACTGTGATAATTTTTAGTCTAATTAGATAACATTTGTAGTGGTATGTTTACACATTGCTTCTATGCTTATTTTAATGTTTTCTTTTATCAAGGGTCATGACCAAAGTTCCACGCTTGCCCAGCACTCTATTGAGCTGACATTACCCAATCACCATCCCTTTCACAGAGACTTGCTTCGATATGCCAAATTGATGGAGTGGCTAAAAAGTACAGATTATGGAAAATATGAAGGGTTAACAAAGGTATGAGACTCAGATATTGGATAAATTCTCTCTAGTGCTATGTGTTTCATTATTTTTGGATAAGTGTCTTATTCTCAATTTGAATGTTAAATTCTGATTTAAAAAATCACAGCTCAGATGTTTTAATCCCTGATCCTTCTTTCCCTACTTTTTTCTTGGTATTATCGTCATTTACTGTGATATACACTATAAACTCCTCTAGAGATAGGTGTTTTTAATATCTGTACAAAGTTATGGCACTTAATAAATATGTGATACCTTTAAATACACATTTTTCCATTGTGTGCACTAACAGCATACATAATTAAAAAAATAATTCTGGAAAATAACTCTGGTATAAATGATCTTCTTAGTTCCACAGAACTCATTGTTAATCCATTTTTAGAGGCTACTTTAAATAGAATAGGAAAAAATCTCAATTTTAGTTATTTTTAAAAGTTTTGTTTTGTAAGTTGTTTGAACAGGTTTTTCAAAAATACCATGAAGTGAAAAATTAACCACAGATTGTACAGTAATTGTTCGGGTGTAACTGAAGGCAACATTTGGCCCTTAATAGTGAGGTTTTTTTGCTCTTATTAAACACACTATTTTTAAAACTGATACAATGGATGACAATTATTAGCAATCCTGATACTGACAATTTTCTGTTATGAGCAACTTTTTGCTAGGAACCAACCCAATCCGATTGATTTGAATGTTAATGGCATTTGGCTATTAGCAACTGTCATGCCATTTACTAACCATTGTTTTTGCTGTACAACCCCACAGGTACTCACTTCCTGTGGAAAGTCCCAGATGCAGGCAGGTTTGCATGGCTGCTGCCAGGGAGGGAAGCACTTGATTATGCTAATCCTGGGCTCCTGGAGCAGTCTGGACAGTGCATGGAGGGGGGCTGTGCAGCCCTGCAGGTGCTCAGTGCCTCTGCTTCCTGTAGAAAGCCCCAGCATTCAGGCTACAGCCCTGCTGCTTCCCTTCATACCGCCCACCTTCCCAGATTTCCTTCCCACTCCACAGTACCTCCTGCGTTTTCTTCTGTATTGGTAGTGGGTACCTAGCTGCAGGGCTGCTCTGTGCTGCTGTCCTGGGCGTGGGTTTTTTGCCTATTGGCAACTTTTGGTTATTAGCAGCTTTCTGCTAGGAACTGAGAGGTTGCTAATGAGTGTCATCCATTGTAAATTCAGTCAGTCTTAAGTATTAGAGTTTTAAAGCAGACTCCTAAAAATGATCCTGAAATATTCAACTAGTTGTGTCTTCTTTCATGTCATATAAGCAGAAGTTGGTTAAATGCCCAGTAGAAGACTGACGTCTTACAGTCTCTTTAATTATCTTTTTTACAAAGAAAGTAATTTGTTCCCCATTTTAGTCAGCATTCATGTAAATTAGGTATGTGTCCTGTTAGAGAGTATTTGTACAGAGACTGAATGGTAAATTTCTAGAACATTTTCATACCTTTCAAGTGTACACAAACTATATTTGATAGTCTTCTTTGGTATCCTGTTCTAATTTTTCCTCGTTCTTTTGATTTGTTTGAATTGGGCTGTAAGCTAAAGTTAGGGATATACTCAGAAAACAACAGTCCTTTTACTGGAATTTTTTCTTTTGCAGCTTTGTAGTTAAAGTAGTGCTTTTGAATAATATAATATTCAAATGAGCAAATAAATCAATAACACTTTCTAACTGTGAGCTCAATGATTATTAGTGATGTAACTTAAAATGTAATGAATTATTTAGTTTGTTTCCCCCGATAATGAAAGTAAGTAACCTTGTGACTGCCAAGAGGACTTATTTTGTGCTTGTAATGTTTTTTGATAGAAATAATAAAATGCAGTAACTTCCAAGAACTGAAACTAGATTTCCCCACTAGCACAGGTTTGTGGCTATTAGATCATTAAGCAAACTAAATATTTTTTCAATTTGTTTTACTTACTTTCTGAGAAATAATAGTAAAAATAATGGACTGAACACCATTGTGGAAAGTAGAAGTAGTTACCGTTGTATGTAAAAGTGGTGATAACGGTTTAGCAACTTTGGGGAAGGGCTGAGTTCCTACTACTATTCCTTGAAGTAGGCAAAATAGAGAGTAATGAGATGTGTGTGTAGTATGTGCTTGTGTGTGCGCACACGTACAACCCTAAAGATAGGCATTTGCTTGCCCTCCTTGTCACGTGAGCTTACACACATGCACATATGGTTTAATAGGGAAATATTCTTCCAATAGGTTCTTGTTACATTTTTGCACTGATAGTTAGGAATGGATTAGCAATTTATGGAGGGATTTATGGACTCGTTATGTCAAGTGATTAACATTTGAGGAAAATATGAAAACAAATACCTACAGAGGGCACTTCCATTTGTGGTGCTGACTAAGAGATTGTTTTATATAGCGAATTCAAGTTATAAATCAAGCAGTCACAGTCAAATAATTTATACTTTAGTTGTGAGAAGTTTTTTTCTTTTTGAAATTTAAGCTTTTTTAGCAACGATGCAAGCCAAAATTAAAGCTTCTTCTGTAGCTTACAGTAAAGAAGATACATACAACAAATAAAGGACCAGTATCACTGAACCTGGTGGCAGGGAAGTGGAATTTATAACATCTTGAGCTAGCTTTGCCTTCTGTTTCTCAGCAGGGATTCATCCTGTGGGAGGCAAACTTTCAGGGTTTTTGCCTGGGGAGCATATCTTTTTATTTGCTGCTAGAGGCTCAGTAGAGCCCAGTAGCAAAGGCTGTAAAGGGGATTAATTGAATTATCATGTCCCCCTGCCACTCTGGCCACCCCCAATAACCGTGGGCTGTGCTGGCCATTTATATTCCCCCTTGGTGGGGAGGTTACAACCTACCCCAGTGGATTTGTTGCTTCAAAGCTTCTTCTGGTAGCATAGACTACTAAGGTTTTATATAGTCCAAATCTTTAGATGCAAGGCACCAAGAGCATTAGCTTGTTCATTTTATTTGCAGGTTGCCATTTATAATTCTGGGTTATTGCATTTGTTCAGATTACAGTACTTATGCTAAACTGTTTTTGTTTTTCACTTAAGAATTACATGGATTATTTATCACGGCTATATGAAAGAGAAATTAAAGATTTCTTTGAGGTTGCCAAGATTAAGATGACGGGCACAACCAAAGAAGGAAAAAAGTTTGGTAAGCTCCCAAGAGACACATACCTTTGCTTTTAGTTTTTTGTTCGTGTTGTAATAAACAGTTATGGCAAATCATTCAGAGCCAACTTTGTAAATGACTGTTTTGTGCCTGAACTGGAAAGATGCTACATTTGGCAGGCATGGTGAAAGTCCGAGGATAAATATGGGATCATCAAAAATGTATTAGGTACACTGCAAAAGCCCTCAGTGTGACACTTGTAGTAAATTAAAAGGGAGTAGAATGAGATAACTTGAAGAATGAGGCATGACACTATATATGTCACTGTGAGTGCAGATCATTGTTTGAGACCTAACACCGCATTATTGTTTAAAAACTTATTGGGATTTTAACACTGAAGCAAATTTGAAAACAAACATTTTATCCAAAGAAAACTATTTGGCAGTGTTTTAGTGTTACTTGTGCTACTAAGAGATTTGTATTTTAATAAATACTTATGAGAGATTTTGAGGAAGCTAACTTAAACACTAATTCTGCCCATGGGGATGTACATACATGAGTTTCAAAGGGAGCTATGTACATGCATCTGAGGTTGGAAATTGTATTTAGTTTCCCTTTTGATGGGTGCATGTATCCCCTTTTGGGAAAAGGAGTTCACTCATGCGTATGAAAGGGAATCTATACCCAAAATAATAATGCTGTCTAGCAGCAAATAATAAAGAAAAACATGTGAAAGGTAGATGGATTTGTATGTATTTTAATGTTTGGTATAGACATATGGCCTTTAATCTCTGATCATTTTACTATTGAAATGAAAGAATGCAATTAATTCTGCTTTGCCTTTTTTAATACAGTGAGTAAATCTTTGATGCACTTTTTCAGATGATATAGTCTATTTGTTAATATGCCTAAATTTGCCATAGCAGATGATTGAACATGGAGCACAAATGGTTCCCTAAGGTTTTCAGAAGAACAACTTGGGGCAGAAGAAGTCCTGAATCTTGAAATGTTAACTTACCTTATTGGTCAAAGTTTAAAAAATAAATAAATAATCCCCGCCTCCTCCCCGCCTCTTAAAATAACCCTATATTTTTTTCCATTATTTTTTTACTATTCCCTTGTGATCCACTTTGGGAGGAAACCACGTTATCCATAGTAATCATATTCTGGACTTATGACACATTATTGTGAACTGTGGATAACAGATCTCTGTTTTAGAGAAAAGAGATTATTCACATATGTGAATTTAAAAGAGCCAAGAGAATTTCTATTAAGATTCATATTTGTGTAAACTTCGACTATATTTTTTTAAAGCCTAGCAATCTTTTCAGTCTAGCAAGAGCTTGGAGAAATTTTCTATAAATTTATCTAGTGTAAGATTAATTACTTTTGTAACAGTTCTACTTAAACATAGACATATTCTTTTATAGTTTGTCATGTAGCAAGCCAAACTGTTGCTTTCTCAGACCTTCAGTAAGCCAGGGAAGAACTTCCTTCTCATAGGACATTCTGAGATATGTCCTCCAGTATTCATGCAGAGACTGAGCAGAATCTCTTTCTCAAGGAGTGAGTAGGCTTCAGTCTTTGCACAGAAACAGAACTGGCATTCTGCAGTTGCATCCACGGAGGAAGTTCCTTGCTACCCAACCCAGGAATTAATGAGCAGCTTTCATGGATTCATATCCCAGAATCATGGATTGTCTGTGAAGTCCACAAACAAATTCAACCTGAATTAGACCATAGTGGTAGTATAGGAAAATACACTGCTCTGCACTGTTCATGTTCTTAATGTTATCCGTTGTGCAAAGGGGGGAGGAGAAGCATCTCAGATCTCTACAGATAAATAGTATTTCATTTTGCCTTTTAAATGTCAGCTGATTTTTTTTTAAATGAATGTGAAAACCTGTTTAACAATGCCGAATTAAAAAGACTTTGTGCATTTGAGGAAGTTAGTGCATATTCCTAAAAGATGTTTTGTTGAATTAATGTGCATTTCTTTAATAATGAAAAAATTACTGTGTAAGGAACAGACAGAGACTTTTTACAGAGTAGGTTGTGGGATATCAGACACTGCCAGTCTTTGAGCTGTGTTGGGGTTTTCTTGCCTTTTGCTTCTTTGCAATTTCTGGAATGAAGCTTCAATTTGAGTATCTTCAACGCAGAGTCTGCTGGGAGAATTCTTTTGGTGCTCTGTACTAGCAGAAGGCTCTTTTTTTGGAAGACAGTGACACAAAAAAGAGAGCAGTAAACTTCTGGGATAAATTCTTCCTTGCCTTAACGGGATGTATTTTTCTTCCTCTGTTAAAGCTAGAATCTTGTTATCTTCAGTGCATTTAAATACAATGAGCTGAAAGACTCCTAGAATCTTAGAAATGTAGGGCTGGAAGGGACTTCAAGAAGTCATCAAGTCAACCCCCCTGCGCTGTGGTAGGACCAAGTAAACGTAGACCTTCCCTGACAGATGTTTGTCCAAGTTTTTAAAGGATATCAGTGATGGAGACTCCACAACCTCCTTTGGAAGCCTATTCCAGAGCTTAACTCCCATTACAGTTAAATAGCTTTTCCTAATATCTGCCTTAAGTCTCCCTTGCTGCAGATTAAGCCCATTACTACTTGCCCTAACCTTAGTGGAGCTGGAGAACAATTGATCACCTTTCTCTTTATAACAGTCCTTAGCATGTTGGAAGATTATCAGGTCCCCAAATCAGTCTTCTTTTCTCAAGACTAAACATGGCCCTTTTTCTCAACCTTTCCTCATAGGTTTTCTAACCCTTTTATCCTTTGTTGCTCTACTCTGGACTCTCCAGTTTGTCCACATCCTTTCTAAATTGTGGTGCCCAGAGCTGGATGCAGTACTCAAGTGGGGGCCTCACCAGTGCCAAGCAGAGAAGGACAATTACCTCCTGTATCTTACATACAGCAATCCTGTTAATACATCCCAGAATATTAATCTTTTTTGCAGCTGCATCACATTGATGAATCATATTCAGTTTGTGGTTCACCATAACCCCCAGATCCTTTTCAGCAGTACTACCGCCTTGACAGTTATTCCCCATTTTGTAGTTGTGAATTTGATTTTTCCTTCCTAAGTGAAGTACATGTGCACTTGTCTTTATTAAATTCCATCTTGTTGAATTCAGACTAATTTGCCAATTTGTGAAGGTCATTTTGATTTTTCAACCTGTCCTCCAAACTGCTTGCAACCTGTCCTAGCTTGATGTCAGCTGCAGATTTTGTAAACATACTCTCTACTCCATTATCCAAGTCATTAATGAAAATATTGAATAGTACCAGACCCAGGACTGACCCCTTTGGATCTCTACTAGTCATGCCCTCGCAATTTTACAACAAACCTCTCTGAGTACAGCCTTTCTAATGCTAATACATAATGTACCATGTGACAACAGTATGTCTTACCTACCAGATGATACTTTGTTCAAGGGTGGTCCTTGGCTATATTTCTTTGTTCTGCAGTGCCAGTCGATGGGGTTAGGGATCAGAGAATCTATGAAGAAACCAATACCAAATATGCAGTACTGTGGTAAAATATAAAATAGTGCAGATAAAAATTAAGCTGGAATTAAATTTGAGTCTGACATCCTAAAACCGTCTGTGTTGATGCCTAGTTGAGAAATCGGTGTTGAAGAGCATTTGCACATCCATATTTGTACAATTGAAAGTAAATATCTGTCCTCTTAGAATAGGACCAGCTTGCCAGCTCCACTCTGATGGGGTGGTTCTTTGCAGGATTATACACATATACATTTCACTTTTTGTTTTATATGTGTCCAGTGCATTCAAGTCAGAGACTTTTGCCAGCAGTACTACTAGGTGGTGCACAGGCTCCTGCTCAACATGTGTTCTCAGGAGAGGGCATAAAAGGGGCTTGTCCACTGTCTTCCTGGTCCCGAAGAAATACTTCACCCTCTCCAAACTGATAGGACCCTATTTTGAGCCAATGGCTACAATTTCATTATCTTTATTTTCTCTAAAGAAAGTGGTTCTTGGTGGCAGTCATTTCTGCAAGGAGGATTTCAGAACTTGCTCTCTTGGCTGACCCTCCTTTCATGGTATTCCATAAGGACAAAGTATCTCTTAGGCCTCACCCTAAGTTTATACCTAAGGTAGTGTCAGTCTTCCATTTAAACCAAACAATCTTTTTGTATTTTTCCTGACATGTTAATTTAAGGCTGAAAAAGCATTCCATACTTTGGATGTTTGTAGAGCACTGGCGTTTTACTTGTACCACACTAGGTCTTTCAGTTCTTACTCCAGGCTCTTTGTAAGCTATGTTGAAAGAATTCAAGGTCAATCAGTGTCATCTCCTTGAATCTCATGCAGGGTTTCTGACTGTATGAAGCTCTGCTATGATCTTGATAAAGTCTCTCCTCCATTGAGAATAACATCTCACTCCACTAGGGCTCAGTCAACCACATCACCATTCCTGAGCAATCTTCCAATAGCTTGTTTATGCAAGGCAGCAACATGGTCGTCTGTGCATACTTTTCCCACTCATTACACCATGATTCAAACCTCTTGAGATGATGCCAGCTTTGCAAGTTAGTGGTACAATCCCTGTGTAGATGATCCAAAGTCGTCCTCCCTGTAAGGGAATGTCTGAGGAATCACCTCCAGTGGAATGTGTATGTGCACAATCACTCAAAGGAGAAAAAAGGTTATTTATCTGTACAGTAACTATTATTCTTTGAGGTATGTTGTGAACATGTACTTCCCACCTTCCCTGCTACTTCAGACTTTACTTAAAGTGGTGCGAAGGAATGGAGAGGTAGGCGGCAGACATGCCTGTTTTATGCTGTCACCTGAGAGCATGAGGTGAGCGGGAACATATGCATCACCTTGTGGTAGTATTGGCAGAAGTCTCCAACTCGAGTGCAGTAAGCACACATTCACCTAAAATGGAATGTGTATGCACAACACAACTCAAAGAACAATAGTTACTGTACAGATAAGTAACCATTTGGTGTTTTTGCGTCTGTAACTTGAAAAATTCATGCTCGCCAAGAATTGTTGAATCCTACTAACTTTTTTGCTTCTAGAGCATGTGTGCAAGTGCTTTCCACTGGTGAACTTAGAATCCTTTATCACAAACACAGGGCAATATTACCCTGTCACAGGGTACTCTAAACTGCTTACTAAAATGCAGTTTTTTGCTTGAGGAAACTGCTTATTTTATTTTTCAGACCAGCAGGATATTCAGGGGATAAACCTTTTAAAAATGAGTTGCATCTTTATGTAAATGTTGTTATTGGTAGTGACTTTTTTTCTTAGCCTGGCAACATCTGCAAACTGGAAAATTGTTAATGCAACCTGAATGAAAAACACACTACTTCTCACTGTGAAAAGCAAAACTGAGTTGTCAGCAACAGCAATATACAATAGGCTGGCTGGTCTTATTGTAGAAAAGAATATTATTGAAAGGACTTTTGCAGTCTTAATAGATTTTTAGTTAAAGAGCTGGAAGATAATGCAGGTAGCCCTGATTCAGTACAAGTCTGCACAGGATTAATCTGTTTGCATTTCTCTTTGTTTGGTATCAATATGATTTACAGTTTATTTGCACACTGTTCTGGTAAACTGCAAATCTCATCCAATATCAATCTTTGCAAATAAGACTCAGTATTTTGGTGGTCTTTTCTGTGTTAAGGAGAATTTGATGTATAAATGTTTAACAAGTCAGAGTTTTCCTCCGTGTTTTGTTTTAAGAAAAATGAAAGTTTAATATTTTGAAACGTATACTGTGTTTTCCATGTAGTTAGAGACTGAATTTCTAGAACAGTAACTCCCCAACTATATGTGTTTGCAACTATAGTTACTTGCTGCTTATAGTTCTCTGCATGTTTCTTTCCAGCTAGTGCTTAACTTGCATCTTGTGCATGGTTTGTGCAAACTGCATTTTTAACTTGTCTTTGTCTTTGATGCTTGCAACCTAATCCATGCCAGCTACACTGCCTCGAAAAGAAAGCGCTGTCAAACAGGAAACAGAGAGTGAGTATGATTAGTGCATTAGTATGTATTGTCAATGCATGTGTGTCTATGTATAGGTGTAGTTATATATAATGGAAAACCCATTAACCCTAAAGCTAACTGTTCAGGGTGCAATAAGTATTTGTAAGCAAAACACATCCAAGAGATGTTGAACATAGTTGGCAATTATATTAGATGGAACATACAGAATGAAAATTAATAATCGGTTTCTCTGTGATTTTGAGATTTATGAAGATTTACAACAGCATTTTACTTGCAGTTTGAATATAACAGGAGATGTTTCTCTTTACTTTGTTTTTGAACTGAGGTGTCTCATCATAGCAAGAGCTCTTCCTTAAGTCCTCTTCTCCCCCTGCCGCACTTTATTCCCAACTGTCATTAACCAAAAGAGTGTGAACTATGGAAAAAACAAGTCCAAGAGAATATGGAGAGTATCTTCAGATACTCAAGTGTTTGCTCTACTATTTTCCTTTCAGAATAATTTCCCCACCGGCTCTCTTTGCTCTGTGTGCTGCTGGAAGATGCTCTTAAAGTATCACAACTGGAGTTCCCATCCAGCTCTCCTTTCAGAAAGGAGAGTACCTGCCCCAGCATATTTGCTATACTTGCTGGTCCCAGGTGCAAAATGTCCAAAGTGGCTCCTGATGTCAGTTTTCCTTTGTTATTCTACAATGCAGACTTAGGTAGCTGCATTGTAATTAACTCTGAAAAACACTTAAATATTCCAGTTAGGCTTGTAATGAAGAAACGTGTATACAATAAAACCACTTAGATAAGGTACAAACTATTCAGTAGAAAGAATATTGACCATCTCTATGGGGACTAGGAGTGCTGTTTTGGATATACCTATATTTTTCTTTTCAAATGTATTTTATTCCACGTAGGCTACCATCTTTCATAGTTTCATTATTTCATAGGTCTTCATGGAAGTTCTGGAAAATTGACTGGGTCTACCTCTAGCCTAAATAAACTCTCCGTTCAGAGTTCAGGAAATCGCAGGTCTCAGTCATCCTCGCTGTTGGATATGGGAAACATGTCTGCCTCTGACCTTGATGTGGCTGATAGAACTAAATTTGATAAGGTAAAACAAAAAATGTAATGTAATATTTCTCCTTAGTTTTGAACTTTAGATAGTCATGAATCCACATTTTGTTTACTGTCTGAAAATGTTCGTTCATGCCCAGGAGTGTGTGTGTGTGTGTGTCTCTGTCTCTCTCTCTAATGTAATAATGTTTTAAATTCATTTAGAATGAATACATATATGTCAACACTTAAATATGATATGCATTGTGCATTTGCTTAAGACTCTAACAGATTTAATTATGCAGACGCTAACTTTAACCATAGTTAAGATTGCAGTTGTTTTCATTATAAGCCCAGTTTTGCTGACCCTCCTCAAAAGTTCCCAAACAAAGGAATGTTGGCCAAAAAATTGGTGGGTTAAGTCTGGGACCAACTTATATTTTTTTTTACCAAAGATGAAGCGAATTGATCATGAGATTCCTGAATTATGACACCTTCATAAGAGAGGAGTTCAGAAAGTATTGTGATGCGTTTTGTAAATTTGTTGGCAAATTGGAAAGAAGGAAAGAGAATCTCATTCACTCGACCATCCAGTAGAGATCTAGTACAGAAGACAAAAGAATAATTTAAATAAACACCAATTTCTAAAATTAACCATTTAAATGTCACTTGCACATTTACTTTGGCTGCCTTAAACTATGGCACCAAATGATTGCTGGAGTCCTCACTTTTTTTTTTTTTAAATGGAGGCTAAGTCTGTAGCCCTGTCCATTGCAGAAATAGACCTAAAAATGTAAACCAGTATTTAGGGAGGATTCTCAATGGATAAGGGAAAATTTTCCTACCAAAACTGTATTTAGTCTTGCAAAATATTGTAAATTAAGATATATTTTTAAAAAGGAAGAGGGGAACCAATTATAGTCTTCTAATACTTTTTTGCCAAGTGCTATGGTGAAAATGGAAAGTGGGGAAACAATTAAAATTAAGTTTTTTATAGGATTATTTTAATTGAGGAGATGAATACCTTGTTTGTGTGTGGTGTTGCCTGGCACCACCAATCCTTGCTAACTTTTCCTGTTTTAATTGTTGTTTTTTGGCTAACTGCAGTTTACCTGTAAGGATTTTTACCTCTAAGTTACTGACATACACTTGCAGTCATAACAGGTGTTTTTCTATGAAACTGAATAAAAATCCTGGTCCTGTCTGTGAAAATTAGTAATTTTGTAAGAATTCTGATATTCTGTTACAAGTCAACAAAAATAGATATAATCCCTTCAAATCGTTTGGTTTTTGTTTTCATCTTTTAATTATTTTAAAAAGTCCTCGTCCTTTATTTCTACATGTAATCTTGCGTGTGGTGAAGAAATGTATACACAGAGTTATGTAATTTGTTGTGCTTGCCCAATAACTTTTTTGGATAAATCTTTCCCTAATTAGTTTCTAGTGATTGGATTTACTGCTTAATCTTAGTAGTGTGGTAAGCTTTAACAGTTACCATGCATTTAGTTCCTAAATACTTGCAAAGAAACTGATTTAGTTTACTGTATGAGGGTGACACAGTAGACTAGAAATGTCTTTGAAAGAGTCTTTATGTATTGGTGGTTGACAAATAATTTTAATAAATTAAAATGTTTGCCCAAAAAGTAGCTTCACTGTTTAATTCGATTTTATTTTAAAATAACTCAAGATCACCCTCTATTCCAAAAGTAAATACAAAAACTTATTTACCAATTTCACCAGATGCTAGTACTTAATACACAAAAACTTTACTGTGAAGCAGTTAGGGTTGGCACATACAGAACATACCTGACACAAACCCATAAAGAAATGGTAAGTTAAGCCACTTAACATACCCTCTGTTCATCCACTCACAGGCACCCACCTTACCAGTTCCACAACTACAGTATTTGCTGCAGATCATGCACCAAAGTCTTTTGCTGTGCCCCACTCAATCTGTGCTTCTGCACACACCCCTTTACCAAGCTACCATGTGCCAACAGAACACACCGCTGCACCAAATGTCCACAACTAATAATATGAAACTGCAGCATAGTATTTGAAATTTTTTCCCAATATAAGAATAGCAGCTCGCATAGCTTCATCTACTGTGGATAGAAACACTTCTGTGAACTACTTCCTATTTTCTTGTTCCCTGCAGCTACATATGTGGTATGATTGCTTAACAGTCTATAACTGTACCAGGTATGGATGCAATTTGTTTGGTTATAACCTTATTTGAAATAGGTTGTAACAACGCTGTTACAAGCTCTCATGTGGCCAGATATTTAATGGCTTTTGAATTAGTAAATACTTCATCCTGTAGTCTTAGAATTCAGTTGGCAAACTTGTTGGGGCGGGGGGAAGAGATGGGTAGCATTCAATTTTCCTTTCTCCCCCTTCCTCTCCTATTTAAAGTGAATAACAAAGAATTATGTTTCACATGGTCGTAAAACTTTATATAAATCTACCTTTTAAAAATATGACTGTTTTACTGTTAGAACTTTTGGAAATCATAATGCTTTTCATTCTATTGCTTTTATAAATGTTCAGGTAGAAATCTAGCTTTAGAGTTTGAGTGCAGAAGGTATTGTATGGAACAAGCTCTGATGCTTCTTGGGGTACCTAGGACTGCGAGTTACCTTGTAATCCCCTTGCCTCCAGTGAGAGAGACTTGCTAGTGCTTAATTGAGTGTCAGCTCTCTGACACCTCTGGCCTAGTAGGAACTCAATCTCATCAGGGCTATGCCAGCCCTTACTTTGGCTTGTATGTTAACAATAGGCATACCTCAATCGCAGAGCCCCTGTGAAGCACTCCCCTGTAATGGCCAGCCCCTAACCACTGGACACTTGCTGAAATTAGCAGGTTTGCACCAGCCTGTTTGATTCAACTGAGGATCAGCTGTTATGTAACATCGCAGCAGTGAGAGAGATTGATTGTGAAAACAATCATAATTTTATTATCAAAGGCTAAGGTTTAATGGATAGTGAGTAAGGATAATAGAGACAGAAAGATTACATACAAAACAAAATCAATACAAGCTTTCTAGAGACTAAACTTTACCAGACTAACCATCTGTCTAAAAGCAGACTTTATATTCTCTGAAAGCTTTCTTGCATCATTTCTAACCTAGACTGATTGGGAACATGTTTTCATAACGCTGCTCAGTTACTTCTTCAGGTGCAGGATAAAGAGGTGTCATTTTGCCTTCTCCATCCTCCAAAATTCATTGTTTGTTCCCAGAGTCAGGATGACCTTGGTGGTCTATTCTCTGGCATGCCAACACCATGTTGACTTGTATGCAAATGGAGTTTCCATTGTGTTGGCTTAGTATACTTAATTTACAAGTAAACTGAGGCAGACAGGTGGATATACATCCTTTGGCAGAAACCTGTTTATCAACCCTGCCTTGAGTCAGACTTTTTAAGAATATATTTTTATTGTGTGTGTATCAAGGGTGGCAGAGTCAGCCCAAAAGTGGAGAGGCCAGGGGCCGGGACCAGGGCTCCCTGCCCCTCCCCTTCCATCCAAGGCCCTGCCCCTGCCAAACCGGAAGCTGGAGGAGGCTGGGAGCCATGGACCTTCCGCCTGCTAGGGGAGGAGGTCCAGAGCAGCCCCCGGCTTGTGTCCGTGCCCAGGGCCAGGGTCCACGGCTACCCACAGCTGTCCGCACACAGCTCTTACCTGGACTTGGCTCTGGCCAGGGGGCTGCAGCTCGGCCATGGTAAGAGCTGTGGGGCACCATGCTGCAGACCCTCCATCTGCCCGGGAGGGTCTGTGGGGGTGCCTTGCCATCCACGGCACGGCACCCCGCAACTGCCTGGGCTCCCCGGACGGGCTCCAGCTGCTGGCCTGGCCGGGGGAACCTCAGGGGGAAGAGGAGTAAAGTGGATAGGCCACGACCCCCAGCTCCTCCTATTCTGGTGCCACTGACATATATCTGTCCATCATAACCTCTTGCATGCTAATTGCACAAACATTTCACAATGATATTAATGACCAGTGTGAACCCAGCTTTTATTGAAGACCTCACATGATATTCTTTATGGATATATACTATGAATGCAGTGTGCTAGGTGTAGCTAATTTGTTAGGCCTGTTAGGAGTTGTTGTTACAGAACAGTGAACCCTTTGTCAGCTGACCTCCAGTGGTTCTTAGGATCGCACAAGCAATGGAAAATAAATTAAAACAAAGAATATTGTTATAATTGGCTATAGTGCATTGAGGGGTGTGTGTATGGGTGTGTTTAATCAAATTATTTTGGTTTACTTTAGATCTTTGAGCAAGTTCTAAGTGAACTGGAGCCCCTGTGTCTAGCAGAACAGGACTTTATTAGCAAATTCTTCAAGCTACAGCAGCATCAAAGCATGGGAACAACAATGGTATGACTTATTTCAATTTAGCTAAAATGATATATAATCTATGAATGGTCTTTAACTACAAAATTGTTGTATTAGGTGTTGAAATAATATTGTGGCGATGAAGGCCCAGTTGCTACAAATACACATGATAACTCCCACTAAAGTCAGTGGAGCTGCTCATATGAATAAAGTTGTTCAAATGCATATGTGTTTGCAAGCAGAATTTTTTTAGTTTGCAAGTGAATATCAAAGAAGTCTAGAGTGCATAATGTATTTTAACCAGAATGTCTCAAATCCATTTTTCCTCGTAAAGGGAAATCTGAATTTACTTTACAATTAAACAGTGGAAGAAGAAAAAGTTGTAGTAAATTAGACCCTTTCTTTTATTTTGAATTATTTTCACTCTAAATATATTGTTGAAGTGCTAAGAAACATGGTATTTGGCATAATGGTGGCAAATAAAAGGGGGAAAATCTAGAATGTAGAAAACCTTTACAGCAGAGGAGGGCAAACTACTGCCCGCGGGCCACATCTGGCCCGTGGGACCGTCCTGCCCGGCCCCTGAGCTCCTGGCCTGAGAGGCTAGTCCCTGGCCCCTCCCCTGCTGTTCCCCCTCCCACGTAGCTATGCCGCCGCACGGGCAGCGGGGCTGCAAGCTCCTGCTGCTCTGAGCAGCATGTTAAGGGGGTGTCGGCGGGCGCAGCGGTGTGGGAGTTGGGTAGGGGGTCCCGGGGGCAGTCAGGGGACAGGGAGCAGGGGGCAGTTGGATGGGGCGAAGATTCTGGGGCAGTCGGGGAACGGGGGGGTTGGATAGGGCATCGGAGACCCGGGGGGCCTGTCAGAGAGCGGGTGTGTGGATAGGTCAGGGCAGTCAGGGTACGGGGGGGGGTTGGATGGGGATGGGATCCCGAGGGGAGGGTGGTTTGGGGTGGGAGGAGGTTCTAGGAGGGGGGCAGTCAGGGGTGGGGAAGTGGGAGGGGGCGAATAGGGGGCAGGGGCCATGCTGTTCGGGGGGCACAGCCTTCCCTACCCAGCCCTCCATACAGTTTTGCACCCCGATGTGGCCCTCGGGCCAAAAAGTTTGCCCACCCTTGCTTTATAGCTATGTGTGGGAAATAAAGGTAAACCTTCATAGTACATTATTTTCTGGGAATGTTCCTCAGCGCACAACTCTACAACTGTTGGTATTTTATAATGATTATTAGTGAGATTCTCTTTCTAATGATGCATCATTTTTCTTTTTTTTCCCTCAGAAGAAAGTAATTGTTTTCACCCTTTTAAGTATTTTATCTCTTACTGTGTCTTCTTCTAAGACGGTTGGATTTTCAGTTTTCTTAAGCTTTCATATGAGATGATAGTTCTTACGTGCTTTTTGAGAAAATGTCTATACTTACTTAAAACAGCTTAGTTGCTTCAAGGGATGTTTCAGCTGTGCCTGGAAGATGTCTGCCACAGAAAACTATAACGGCTATCTCTTTGTCCACATATAAACTGGGTTTCAAACTAAATTAAGGAACAATCATTTAACTATTTTATTTTAAGCTGTCGAAACTAAAACTGTCTAACAGAGTTTGGCTGACCTGTGCAAATGAGGCTAAGTTATTTAGTCTGAGTTTAGAGACTGATATTAGCCTAGGTTATTAAATTTGCATGTACACCTATCATGATTGTTAATACAAATTTGGGAGTTGTACATACAAACAGCTGGACAACTGAATAGAAAACTGAATCATAGAATATCAGGGTTGGAAGGGATCTCAGGAGGTCATCTAGTCCAACCCCCTGCTCAAAGCAGGACCAATCCCCAATTTTTGCCCCAGATCCCTAAGTGGCCCCCTCAAGGATTGAACTCACAACCCTGGGTTTAGCAGGCCAGTGCTCAAACCACTGAGCTATCCCTCCCACCGCAGAAGGCAACCTGATTTGTAGAGGCTGTTCTTGCTCCTGTCTTGATATGAGTCCTTGTCAAAAAGAAACGTCATGTTACCTTGCAGAGAAAGTCTAGCTGATTGTGATTAAACAGTCTGCTTCTTTGCATGCAGACTGCACAAACGCTAAGGGTGAAATGCTGGCCCTATTGAAGTCATTGGTAGATTTGCCGTTGCCTTAATGGGGCCGGGATTTCACCCATAGTCTTCTCTGCTTGAGTTTAGTCCAGTAGCTCATTGATGTACTGTACTTCAGTTTTTACTGTGTTGTTACAACAGTGTTGAGAACAGGTAAGTACTACAGTCTATGCTTGGAAGGCCTGTAGAGAACTGGGTGGAGATTGTCAACACCTCCCTTCAGGTGGTAAGTTGTTTAGCTTCACTTAAGGAAGCTGTTGTGTGGCCGTAGCTGTCAGCATCAAGTGGATATTTGTTTGAATCTGGCCAAATATTGCCAATATTTAATCTTCCATCTTCCCATTTCTTGAGAACACATTGGTGAGATATCTCTGAGTACATCACTGCCTCAGATCGTGTCAATGTGAATACAGATCTGGATATGGCAGAGGCTGCACTTGTGGCTTTAGTGGGTGATCTCTTTCTATGGATATTTAAAGATAAAATGTTCATGCTGTTCTGTCGGCAGTATTTGATATAGTTTACTGCACTAGCTTATGAATGCTAACAGTTTTTGCCTTGCCTTATCTCCTATTAAGGGAAGATCATAGGGTGGGACAATGTTTTGCAGAGCTTACGGCAATGACAAAACCTTGAATAGAAAATGTTGGCTATTTAGTGGTGACCACTCTGTTTACGTCGAGATGAGAGGGTGATGTTAATGGTTCAGAATGTTATGCCATGGAGTGCGCCCAGGTATCTTGTCTTGTAACAGAGAATGAATGTGTGTATCTATTTGTAAATATCACCTTCAAATAATGATTGCTGCTGGTAATTGTTTTTCTTAGACATACCTACCAGTTTAATACAGAATTTTAGTTAGATAGGGATATAGCTGAGTTAACTCCTTGCTTTTAAGATTCTTCTTTATGTAAAATACCTGCATAATTCTTGCAGAATGAAGTAGAGGAAATGGATGGAGGAACTTTATCCCGGCCTCATAATTCTGGTGTTCCACAAGCTATATCATCTGAGTACGTGTTGATGTTTCATCATTGTTCATTCTTGAGGCTAGAGATTTATTTTCTGTAATGAAGTACAAATCTTTGATTTTTTTTTTTTTTTACCCATAGTGATACATGGACAGTTACTTTTGTTTCCTGCAGTTAAAATTAATGACTTCTACATTTTTCAGTAAACATTGAATAGTTAACTTGCATAATTTATACTTAATTTTAAATTTATTGCAGTTAAATGTGCCTGGATGGCTATGTTATAATAAAACAATGTAACAACTCAATACCCCACCTGCTTACAAAATCTACAAGGAAACCCACCCATCTCTTTGTTAGTTTTGTAAAAATACCCAGGAGAGTAGTTTGAACTTTAAGCATGTGGAAGACAGATTTTCTATGATCTAGCAGGCATTGTGAAGAAAACATTTTTAAATGTAGTTAAACTGTAATTTTTTGACCTTGGCAATGTCCAATTAAGACTTGGCAAAAATTATTTTATTCTTCCTTTAGCCCCATCCCCTGAAAACCTTCATGCTCATTAAGGTTAAGTAAAAATGAGACTGTTAAATATCCGTACATTTTTCTTAAAATATATATGAAAGAAAATGTATAGTAGCCCAGTAAATTGTCAGATTTGTTATTTTTATTTTATTTTTTTTAACAGGAAAGACATGATCCGACAGATGATGATAAAAATATTTCGCTCTATTGAGCCAGAGCTGAATAACCTTATAGCTCTGGGGGACAAGATTGATAGCTTTAATTCCCTTTATATGTTAGTTAAGATGAGTCACCATGTATGGACAGCACAAAATGTGGACCCAGCTTCCTTCCTCAGCACAACACTTGGAAATGTTTTGGTGACTGTCAAAAGAAACTTTGACAAATGCATTGTAAGTTCTTAATTACTTAGATTAAACTAATCATAATATTAAAGGCAGCCAACTGCTAGCAAGTTTTAAATGTAAGAGAACCCTAAATCTTAAATGTCTTTGGAGTTAATTTAAAGGTGGGGAAAAAAATCTTACCACTATGTATTGTTTTTTAAATGAACACAAAATAACTTGGATGGAGTTGCAAAAATGTATAAATAATTGGTGGTTAGCTCTGTTTAATGAACATTCAAGAAGGAACTGGAAAAGTGTAGTCACTTATGAGAACTCAGATTCTTAGTATTCCAGTGCCAAATTCTGCCTACTTTTCTCTCACCAGTGATCTCATTGAAACTACAAGGCATGAGCAAGGCAAGCAGACTTTAGCCCTCAGGTCACCTGACTTGCTGAACAAAATTTGGTTGGTTAATAAAGACATTTTTTATGAGCCTATCGGAATAAAAAAATATATGTGTGAAGGAGACAGTTGTCTAGTCTACAATAGAAAAGGTTTGCCAGTATAGCTATACTGGCAAACTTACTTAATCTAAACACAGCTTCTACTAGCGAAAACAGTTCCATGACTAAAATAAGCTATATCCGCAATCGGAGTTTTTTTTGCCAGTATAACTGCATCTAACTATGACTTTTGCCTGTATAAAAATGTCATTTAAAAAAAAACAAAATAAACGGGAAAAACCCCAAACACATCCTTAACCAACATTATTATACCGATAACAGTTTCTGGTGTAGACCTAGCCAAGGATGGGAGACAAAACTTACTGATAATCCAGCTTTCAATAAAGGAAGAAAACAATGTTTGATTCCTTTCTTAGAATTTTTTTAACTTAGCTGCATTTGAAAATTTAGTGTAATAAACAACTATCTTGATATTCGCAAAAAGAAAAGGAGTACTTGTGGCACCTTAGAGACTCACCAATTTATTTGAGCATAAGCTTTCGTGAGCTACAGTAGCTCACGAAAGCTTATGCTCAAATAAATTGGTGAGTCTCTAAGGTGCCACAAGTACTCCTTTTCTTTTTTGCGAATACAGACTAACACGGCTACTACTCTGAAACCTATCTTGATATTTGTATGTTCTAGTATAAATTGCCATTTGCTAGCAGTGGGCATCAGAATATGTGCCTCTTTAGAGAAGGTACATAAGAACAAAGAGTGGCCCTACTGGGTCAGACCAAAGTTCCATCTAGCCCAGTATCCTGTCTTCTGACAGTAGCCAGTGCCAGGTGCCCCAGAGGAAAGGAACAGAACAGGTAATCATAAAGTGATCCATCATCCTCAGTCGCTCATTCCCAGCTTCTGGCAAACAGAGGTTAAGGACACCATTCCTGTCCATCCTGGCTAATAGGTCCTATCCTCCATGAATTTAGCTAGTTCTTTTTTGAACCCTGTTATGGTCTTGGCCTTCACAACATCCTCTGGCAAGGAGTTCCACAGGTTGACTGTGCGTTGTGTGAAGAAATGCTTCCTTTTGTTTGTTTTAAACCTGCTGCCTATTGATTTCATTTGGTGACCCCTAGTTCTTGTGTTATGAGAAGTAGTAAACAACACTTCCTAATCTACTTTCTCTATACCAGTCATGATTTTATAGACCTGAGTCATATCTCCCCTTAGCCGTCTCTTTTCCAAGCTGAAAAGGTAAACGAAAAGGAAGGAAAATAAAAGCGCAAAGATTTGGTATACTCATAAATTCCTTCTTAGTGCGTCACTCTGATTTATTAAAGGTTTGTTTGGGTAAAAAGACTTAAAAACATATCATAAAGGTAAAAGGAAAATTATTCAAGTCTTGTGTGAATGAACTTACTGATTTTTTTCAATGTGTTTGAGTATTTTTCTCATTTCTTTTCTCAGGCCAAGTTTCAGAAAAAATATTGTGGACTAATTAACCTTTTTGTTTTTAACTTAAGAGTAATCAAATAAAACAGATGGAGGAGGTAAAGATATCAAAGAAGAGTAAAGTTGGGATCCTTACATTTGTTGCTGAATTTGAAGAATTTGCAGCACTGGCTGAATCTATTTTCAAAAATGCAGAGCGTCGAGGAGATTTAGATAAAGCTTACATAAAACTTATAAGAAGTGTTTTCATCAATGGTAAGGTCTATTGCAGTGCCCCGCATACTTCCACAAACTCACTCTTTGTCTGCTTGATGTACTTTTTCTCTCTGTTTGGGAGGGCAGAAAATATAGTCCCCCTGAAACTAACAATAATAGCTTTCCATAAACTGGCCAGTGGAGAATGCAGAACAGCAATTTGGTAGAAAATATTTATTCTGCAGATTAAGCATATTTCCCACCATAGACAGATCCAGATGCCAGCACTATTGGGCATCTAGTCCCAAAAATTTGAAAAGAGCATTTGCTATAACATCTTGTCATAAGCCTTTGACGCCAAACCTGGACTGAAATTTTGGGCATCATCATTTTTAAAAAATGTTAATGACTGAAATCAGTAACATAATAGTATGTGTTAAGTGAACTTAAAACATAGGTACATTTTTAATGCTTAAAGCAGACTATTTGAAAAGCAATTTCCCTGCTATGACCAGTGTTCAGGGTTCTGCATGGGAGGTAGGAGACAAATATTCAATATTTTGTCTTAAACTGTATATGAATTTTTAACTTCTATATCTGTATATATATTCTGTTACTGAGTGAAGCTACTAAAAGCTTTTAAAAACAAAAATATTCACCTTCTTAAAGGCTGTAAAGAAGGAGCTTGGAGACTGCAATTAAATACTGAGATGTGGCGGTAACATTGGTGAGATCATCAGGATAGAAAGGATTCACCGAAGTGCATTCTTCTTCAAGTGATTGCTGTCCATTCAGCTTAGGTGTGTGTGTTCGCCACATGCACCGGTGCCGGAAGTTTTTCCCTCAGCAGTATCCATAGCCGCCCACACCGGCTCCTGCGGTTCCCCGGTCACAGGGTAAACCCACATTCGGACCTCCACGGTTCCCACTCCACCATTCCCCCGTTGCTGCGCCGCCCTATTTGATCCTTGGACATGAGCAGAGAGGCTTGAGGTGCAGCTCGCTGACCACCGGGCGCAGACCTTTGGAGGCATGCACAATCGGCAGAAGTACCACTCCAGGGACCCGTCGAGGGATCAATGGTACCATTCCTTGGACCGTCACCGATCCCCTAGGAGGGCATCACCATGTGCAGGCGCTTCCCGGCACTGGGCCCTCTCCGACTCCCAGTCCCGCTTCTCATCCTAGTACTGCTTGTCAAGTGCAAGATGTAGATCGCTGGCTCCAAGCTGTCATGGATCTGTCGAGCACCACTGGTCCCTACGACCCCGCTCTAGATCGGACTCCAGGCGGAATGACCAGCAACGGCTGGGACAGAGCCACTAGTCTGCTCCGTCCTGGTCACCTGGGAGTGACCGCTCAGGATCCAGCCCTGGTTCAGAGTGAGGTTTGCTGACAGCGGGATAAGCTTTGTTATTGGCGGTACCGGCTACATTGTCTGCACCAAAACTGGTCCTGTGGCCACAGGCACAGTGGTTGGCAGCGTGGTACCCATGGAACCTGTGGGGGTCCAAGAGGGACCAGGGGAGCAAGCCACCGGGCCACCAATGGTTGTGGAGGACCCAAACTCCCTCCTCACTGCCACCTATCTCCAAGAGGGCGGAGCTCATGTACTTCGTGCTATCCAAAGGCCACGAGTACCTGTACACCCATCCTGCTCCCAACTCCCTAGTGGTAGAAGCGGTTAACCACAGGGAGTGACAAGGTCAACCCGGAGTTACCCCTAAGAACAAAGACTCCAAGAGACTAGATTTGTTTGGGCATAAGCTTTATTCGTCCTCTAGCCTCCAGTTGAGGGTGGCCAACCATCAAGCCCTCCTGGGATGCTGTGTTTTTAACATGTAGCAAACCATGTCCAAGTTTGAGGGCTCTCTTTCTGAGGTTTGTAGGAAGGAGTTCCGGGCTATTATGGAGGAGGGCACGACTGCGGACAGGGCAACGCTCCAGGCGGCGTCGGATGCAGTGGATGCTGCCGCCCGAACCATGGCCTTAGCCGTCACCGTGCACTGGGCATCCTGGCTGCTACTCTTTGGCTTGTCCACGGAAGCTCAGCACTCAATGCAAAACCTTCCCTTCGATGGGCAAGCCCTGTTTGCGGAACAGACGGACAATAAGCTCCATGGCCTAAAGGACTCCTGCACGACCCTTAAAACGCTGGGCCTGTATGTTGCTTTCTACCCCTCCTTCCCACCCTCCCTCCCCGTCCCTCTTCAGCGATCCTTCTCACGAGAGTCTCCTCGTGCAGGAGGTAGAGGGGTTACTGCAGGTAGGTGTGGTGGAGATTGTTTCTCCAGAGTTCAGGAACAAGAGGTTCTATTCCTGCTACATTTTAATCCTAAGGCGGTCTACGACCTATCCTGGACCTGCGAGACCCAAATCGCTTCCTAGCAAAGCTGAAGTTCTTCACGGTCTCCTTGGCCTCCATTGTCCCTTCCCTGGATCCGGGAGACTGGTATGCTGCCCTGGATCTGAAAGATGCGTACTTTCACATCCCCATCTTCAAGGGACACAGACACTTCCTCCAGTTTATGGTAGGTCCCAACCACTATCAGTTTGCGGTCCTCCCATTTGGCTTAGCAACAGCATGGATATTTACCAAGTGTATGTCAGTGGTGGGTGCCTAGATCTACCCATACCTCGATGACTGGCTAGTCAAGGGCAGAGCCAGGTCCCAGGTCCAAAGAGATGTCGTGATGCTGTTAGTCACTTGCCATTGCCTTGGCCTGTTGGTGAACGACAAAAAAATCCACGTTAGTTCCGGTACAGAGGATAAAGTTCATCGGAGCGGTGCTCGACTTGACCTGTGCCAGGGCATTCCTGCTGCTGGAGAGATTCAGGGCACTGATGGATCTCATGGAAGTCTCCGAGTTTCCCTTTACTACGGCCAGGGTTTGCCTGTGCCTCCTAGGTCACATGGCAGCGTGCACATATGTGGTGTGTCACGCCAGGCTCCGGATGTGATCTCTGCAGCAATGGCTGGCGATGGTCTACTCCCAGTCAAGAAGAAGGTCGTTGTCATCCCCGCGATGATACCTCGCTGTGTTGGTGGACTGACCCCAGGAAAGTTCTGGAAGGAGTTCCCTTCGTCAGCACTCCGCAGTCAGTCAAGTTGGTTTTGGAAGCCTCGGCTCTCGGCTGGGGGGTGCACCTTGGCACCCTCCAGACCCAAGGTATGTGGTCCCCAGAGGAATCGACGCTACACATAAACATCAAAGAGGTTCAGGGTGGTGCACAGAGCGTGCATGGTCTTCCTACCTCACATGTCAGGAAGAGTGGTCAGAGTTCTCAGGGACAACACTGCCTCGATGTTCTACATCAGCAAACAAGGTGGAACACAATCCTCGGCCCTCTGCCAAGAGGCACTCCATCTTTGGGACTTCAGCATCGACTATGGAATCCATCTAGAAGCATGTCACCTTCCAGGTGCCAGGAACACACTAGCAGATCACCGAAGCAGGGACTTCTCCTTTTACCACGAGTGGGTGCTCCACCCGGAAGTAGCCGGCATGATCCCCCAGAGATGGGGAACTCCCCCAGTAGATTTGTTTGCCACCAGGCAGAACAGAAGGTGCCACAGGTTTTGCTCCTGATGGGGCCTGGGCAAGGGCTCCCTCTCCGATGCCTTCCTCCTGCCATGGGCAGGAAGCCTGATGTACGCGTTCCCTCTGATTCTGCTCATCAGCAAGGTCCTAGCAAAAATCAAGAGAGACAAGGCGCAAGTTACCATAATCACTCTGGGGTGGCCTCGCCAGGACTAGTTTGGGACACTATCAAGCTGGTCAGCGATCCCTCCCTAGTCCCTGCCGAACCGACCACACCTGCTGTCACAAGATCACAGCCAACTCTTGCATCCCAACCTTGTGTCCATCCACCTCACAGCATGGATGTTGCGTGGCTGAACCCAGATGTACGAGCCTGTTCGGAAGGGGTCCAGAAGGTCCTCCTCGAGAGTAGAAAGCCCTTGATCAGGCAGACCTACCTGGCAAAGTGGACGAGGTTCTCCCGCTGGGCAGCCGAACGGGGCATCTCCCCTTCGCATTCTTTGGTGCAGTCCATCTTGGACTACCTGCTTCATTAAAGGAACCAGGGCCTGGTGCACTCTTCTGTCAGGGTGTACCTGGCAGCTGTTTCAGCCTTTCATGTACCAATCCAGGGACAGATGGTGTTCTCCCATGATGTGATGATCAGGTTCCTTAGAGGCCTCGAGAGACTCTTTATCAAGTCTGGTCCCCAGCCCCAGTGGGATCTCCACTTGGTTCTGTCCAGGCTCATGGGCCCTTCCTTTGAGCCTTTGGACTTGTGCTCCCTGTCTCACCTATCATGGAAGGTAGCTTTCCTGGTGCAGGTGATGTTGGCGAGGCGGGTCTCCAAGCTGTAAGCCCTGACCTCAGAACTACCGTACATGGTCTTCTACAAGGACAAGGTCCAGCTCTGGCCCCACCCAGCCTTCCTTCCCAAGGTGGTGTCTGCTTTCCACGTGAGCCAGGACATCTTCCTTCCGGTGTTCTGCCCTAAGCCGCATGAGATAGTGAAGAAAGGCACTGTGACATTCCCCTCTGGTGTTATCTGGGCCGGTGATCTGCTAGGTCACTCCAATCCTTGACTCTGGGAGCCAGCCTTATCCTGCTCTGCTGTGAGAACTCCCACTCTTGGGCTGTTCACACACAGCCTCTGGCATGTAAGCTGCTCCTTGGATTGTGCAACTGAATGACACTAGCCAATATCCCTGGTCCCAGACACAACCCTTGCAACCTCCATCTTGCAGTATCCAGTTATGCCCGCTGGATGCTGCAAGCTTATATGAGTTCGTCAATTTAACAAAGAGATTGATATGTATGAGGCTTGTTATCCCAAGGTGAGTCTCTGACATGCTTCAAACCAAACAGATTTATTAACTATAAAGATAGATTTTAAGTGATTATAAGTCAGATTTGGTCAAATGAAATAAAAGCAAAATGCATTCTAAGCTGATCTTAACACTTTCAGTGCTGTTTCAAACTTAGATGCTTCTCACAGGCTGTCTGGTTGCTCTTCAGCCAGGCTCTCCCCTTTAATCAGTGCTTCAGTCGCTTGGTGTGGTGTCTGTAGATATAGGTGGAAGAGAGAGAGAGAGAGACCATGGCAAATGTGTTTCCCTTTTATCATGTCCTTTCTTTCCTTTTGGCTTTGCCCCCCCCTTCAGAGTCAGGTGAGGATTACCTCATCGCAGTTCCAGACTGACCAAAGGAGGAGGGAGTGACTCCCTTGAGAGTCTGATTATTTTGTTGCTGCCTAGGCCAGCATCCTTTGTTCCTGTGAGGCTGGGCTGGGTTTGTCCCATACCTGCCCTGATGAGGTGTGAACTGCCTCTCTGCTCTTGGAGAATTTTTGCCTGGGCTTATTTTAAGCCATGAGGATACATTTTCAGCCTCATAACCACATACAGTAATGTTATAGTTTATCATTTCATGTAACAATTATAACATCACTATAATAACCATGCTCAGACACCCAACATGACAAACTTTGCATTGGATACCACACAATCATTTTATAAAGATCAACATGGGTGTGTAAGGTGTACCCCTGAGGTACAAAGCGTCACAGGCACCTTCATGTTTTGGATGTAAGAAGGGCTCTGGTTTTCTACCTAGATCGGACAAAACCTTCCTGTAAGTCGACTCAGCTTTTCATCTCTACAGCTGATAGGATAAAGGGCCTCCCAGTGTCCACACAGAGGATTTCTGACAGGATCATCTCTTGCATTCGGACCAGCTACGAGTTGGAGGGAGTCCCTCCACCACCGATCATCAGAGCCCACTTGACCAGAGCGCAGGCGTCTTTGGCAGCCTTCCTGGCACACTTCCCCAATCCAGGACATCTGTCAAGCCACAACATGGACCTTGGTGCACATGTTCACGGCCCACTACACCCATCACTCAGCAGGCCAGGTATGACACTAGGTTCAGCAGAGCTGTATTGCAATCTACATGTTTGTGAACTCCTACCCACCTCTGGGGGATGCTGCTTGGGAGTCACCTAAGTTGAATGGACATGAGCAATCACTCGAAGAAGAAAAGACAGTTACCTTTTCGGTAATTGGTGTTCTTCAAGATGTGGTGTTCGTGTCCGTTCCACAACCCGCCCTCCCTTCCCACTGTCAGAGTTTCCGGCAAGAAGGAACTGAGGGTTGGGGGAACCGGCGGCGCCTTATATACCCTGGCATGTGTGCACCACTCCAGGGGGCAACAGAGCTGGTCCCTATGGATACTTCTGAGGGAAAAACGTCCGGCACCTGTGCCTGTGGTGAGCATACATGCCTAAGTTAAATGGACATGAGCAACACATCTCGAAGAACACCAGTTACGGAAAAGGTAACTGTCCTTTTTTAAAAAGGTATTTGAGAGAGGGAGGGGGAGAGAGAGAGAGGATACTTAGCAGAAAAGAGGGCACAGACTGCTCCAAACCAGTTGGGAGTAGCCTCAAAGAAAGCACAAAGCTACAAGTGGGGAAAAAGAGACAAAAGAGATAGGAAGGATGATGATTCTAAGACAAAATAACAGCAGAGATAAAGTGAGGAGTTTGAACTGAATGCAGTAAGGGGTTTTGTTGGTCAAGGCTGCTTAGAAAGATACCTGTAGCTGCCATGCTTTGGATAGAAGAGAGGAAGACTAAAATTGGCAGCAAGATATTTTCCTAATGACTATTATTGTGTGTCTGAAATGAATTGATGGTCTCAGTTAATTTTCTAGAGCACAGGAATTCGTGCTACAAAAATTACTATCACAAATGTCATCCTCATTGTTTCAGTGGAAAGGCTAATGGATAAATGGACATAAAGACTTTACTACACTTAGAGTGGTGATCTAGAACTAGGTTGAGGAGCAATGATGGGGCAGTATGTAGAAATATACATTAGCATTAGCCTGTTCTGTGGACAAATGAGTGCTTCCATCATCAAGGTTATCAGTCTGGCACCTTTATGGGCAGTCCTGTTTAAAAAGAGAGACTGGAAGAACAAGATAACTTTGGCAATAGACACTGATGTCCTAAGTAAAAATTGTTCATGGTAAGAAAAGTTGGGATATGCAGAATAGAGCTCATATTACCATACAAAAATATTCAATAACAGCAAAAGGAGCCTAGAATAAATACTTTTTTGTATAATTTTTTTTTAAGTTTTGCTACAATGCATAAATATCTTCAAAGGGCAATAAATTATGTTTGTGGAAGTTTACAAAGTATACAAATCACTTTTTGCTAAACAAAGGATCAGTCATGTAAATAAGTGTATCATATCGGTTTATAATATGTAAAAATTACTGTCTATACTCTATATGTAAGGAGTGGAACTCTGTAGTCTTAGGACTAATGTGAAGTGCTACTTTGAATATTCTCATGTACTCACTTATTCAACAATGGAAATCATTTTGGCAGACTTGCCAAGTAAAAAAGTAATCATTTTGAATCCTCATCTCTGCTTAAAAGGATACAACTTACTAGGAAATTTTACTTTTGTTTGTTTTATCCCACATGGTTCCCCATGGAGGTAATCTGCCTTGAGAAATGTAGTTTGTGGATCTTTGTAAAATTAAAGAGCTCTAAAATTTTTTCAAATGACTCTTCTTGACATGAAAGCCAAAGACACTTTTCTGGAATTGTTCCTTTTATTGGCTCTTTCTCATTCATCTTACAAGCTCTCTTTTTTCCATAATTTAGACATTTTAATTATCAAAGAGGTTTGTGTTGAATCTTTTTACTATTCTGATTTTAGTGGAGAAAGTAGCAAATGAAAGCCAGAAAACACCCAGAGATGTGGTCATGATGGAGAACTTCCACCATATTTTTGCAACTCTCTCTCGTTTGAAAATCTCATGTCTTGAGGCTGAAAAAAAAGAAGCTAAACAGAAATACACTGATCATCTCCAGTCTTATGTCATCTACTCATTGGGACAGCCTCTTGAGAAATTAAATGTAAGCATCTTTTGGTCTTGTATTTCTGATGCAGAATACAGCTGTCTTTCTCCAAAAACTGATTTGCACGTTTTGAGTTTACAGCTCCAGGCATGTGAGGATGTGCCATTTCTTGTTCTGTTAACTTCCAACCCAGGTGACTTCCAAAGGGCTCTCATCTCCCCGCAGGACAATGATTTTAACATCTCCTTGACTGTTAATATATTGCAGAATTTTTACCCAAATGTTCATGTGTGGACAGGGATTCTTTTCCAACACTAACTTTCATCACTAATTAGGAGCTTGGGGATGCTGTTGCCCACTCCGATGGTAAAAGCATTATCACCCTGTTTCTAAACTACTTTTTAAAAAAACCCTAATACGCCTTTAATTGCCAGAACCAGATCCATATATATGGCAGCACATTTTGCTTTAAGCTGAGCTATTCAATTGGATAACATAGTGAGACTTGTAAGATATATCAGCTGTGCATATCAAATGTATTTGATACTGTTAATTATGTTTTTGCTATAATTAGGATTGTAGTTTTTATATTTTTTTAGGAAATTATGAATTTTTATGGTTGAGAAATTACTCCTAATAAAATGTCTTTATATATAGATATATTAAAAAATCTAAAATGCTTGTTTGTCACCTAATGTGAGTTAAACTATGAAGTTCCCTACATACATTTTTGTAGGCCCACTCCTCTCAGGAATACATATTTTAGGATCTCATGTTCATATGCATCACTATTGCCTTTTATTTTTTGTGCTTTAGACATCCAGGGCTCTACTGCTATCTCTCTTCAGGCTATGATCTTGTTAGTTTTAGGCTGGCTCAGCACTTGACAGAAGACTTCAAGGGAAAACCCTGGTGCTACAAGAAGTGGTTACACTTTTCCTTCTGAGTTAATACTTAACCAGTGCTCTAGTGCGGTGGTGGCACCTGTTTAGTGGGGTGGAACCAGATCCTTAGCTAATGTAAATTTATATTGTTTCTTTGATTCAGGTTTTTTGTCATGTGAAAACAAGATGCGCCATCAGATCAATATTCTGCCACTTACATATACTACCCTACGTTTATGATTATATTAATACTATAATTGTATTTTAGCATTTCTTTGAGGGTGTTGAAGCTCGTGTGGCACAGGGCATAAGAGAAGAGGAAGTAAGTTACCAACTGGCTTTCAATAAACAAGAGCTTCGCAAAGTTATAAAGGAATATCCTGGTAAGGAAGTGAAGAAGGGATTGGATAATCTCTACAAGAAGGTGGACAAACATCTTTGTGAAGAAGAAAATTTACTTCAGGTAAAACTATCTGATTTGTATAAAGAATAATCTGACATCTCCGATTGTTTTAATGCCTGTACAAACATTCTACTACTTTGTAGAATAGCCTTTAGTCTGCTTCTCTAAAATGAAACTTCACAGGAATGAGAGAATATTAGCATCTTCACTTGCACCAAAAGAATGCTATGTAAACTACAGCTCTGTATTCTGGGAAGTATGTCATCAGTAAATTAGTACCTTGCCATCATAACTTTCTTTTGGGGGGTTGTTTCTGCATACTCCCACTTGGGGGAAGCGCCTTGAGCTTCAGGACTCTTCTGAAAATCAGTGTTTTTTTGGAGCCCTGCGTGAGTCCCTCAAAATGGAATGTTTTGAGGGTTGAGTTTTGTTAAAGGGGTATTCACCCCCAATTGCCTCTATTCCTTTTGACAAACTGAATCAACCACTAACAGGAGTTAGGAAGAAACTTCCCTTAGAGTATGCCATAATTGTCCATTATTAGGTTTCTTGCAAGCTTGAAACGTCTGGTGCTGGCCAGTGTGGGAGATAGTATATCAGACTATATGGACCACTTGTGTGATCTGGAAATGTGTCTATTCCTATACATATGTTTTGGCGCAGAATAATACTTTCAGTGCATTCTCTTCCAGTGCTATGAGTGGGATTTAAAAAAGTGGTCAGTGATAGCCTAATTTTGTTCCCATTGAAATAAGTAGTAAAACTTTCATTGACTATAGAGGGAGCAGAATTAGGCCACTGTACTGAGGATTTTGTAAAATCTCACCCTCTTTGCTCAGTTAGTTACACAAGATTTTTGTATTTAAACCTTTATCAATTTAGCACAGACAAAGCACAATGTAATATTATTTTTTAAAAACAACCCAAAAATTTCTTTTACTTCGTAATTTTGACTTGGTAGAAGTTGTATAAATGTTCATAGAAGGTGACTTACAGAAATTCTGTGCAACAAAAATCTTGTTTTTCTGAATTTTGTCTTAATAAAATGTCACTTACTTTTGTTTGTATTCCTCCTTTGGCAGGTTGTATGGCATTCTATGCAAGATGAGTTTATACGCCAGTACAAACACTTTGAAGGCTTGATAGCTCGTTGCTATCCTGGATCAGGTGTTACCATGGAATTCACTATCCAGGACATCTTAGACTACTGCTCCAGTATTGCACAGTCTCACTAACTTCTACAAGGGGAAAAGGCTTGAAAAATATCAAGTACTATGAATGTTACTTGCTTTAAGAAGATGGAATAAGAAGCATATGTATTCTTAAATGTTCTATAAATGTCTAGTCATATTTCCATCTTGGGATATATTTCAATGCAGAATGAAATGCCTAAATAGCAGTGTTGCTTTCCTGCACAGTTGAAGCACTGTTTTAAAGCATTAAATTCATGAAACACTTAATATTTAATTTTTCTCCCACTGGTGCCCTGTTTTTTTTTACAATTGTAACTCTTTCTTGCTAACAGCAATTACCTTTGTATATTCTTAGCACCTTGAAAGGACACTACAGTCATCTGACTTCACACTACTACTGTGCATGCTGGTAATTATGTAACCATTAAAAAGATTGTACAGAATTAGGTTTTTTCTGCCTCAAGCTGTAATATATAGATGTGGAGTTCGTCAATGAAAGTACTAACTAAATTCATGTTTTGAGAATTAATGTCACTGTCTGTAGCTGTAACTCTTCTGATCTTAAGTAAAAATAATCTTTCAAATATGATGTCCTATAAACTTCTTGTTCTGGAGTATTCATTAATTCTTCAGCTGTTCACCGCAAAAACAGCAATATCTTAAGTCCAAAATGAGGTACCCAAGACAAGACAGAAAACAATACATAATTTTCCTTTAAGCATACATTTACTGTTTTATTGGTATTTACTAGAGCATGATTGAACTTCAGTCATACGTTAAGCAGAAAGTCTGCGCTACTACAGTACCATAAAAACAGCTAAAACTTTTTTTTTAAAATGCATGAATTCCAAAATCTTAAGGGCAAAGATTTTCAAAACTGCAAGGTTCTCAAGTTCGTATTCAGGTACCCAAATGGGAGCTTCTGGATGGCAGTCACTTTGAAAACAAGGCCATTTGTTTAGGTCCCCAAGTATGGACTTGAAAGGCTAACATTAGGCACCTATTTTTGAAAATTCTTTGTTTGCACTGTAATACTACTATGACGGGTTGGGATCACAGAAACCCCCTTGGGGTTGCCAACTCACGTTCCAAGATTACTTCTACCCCTGCTTTCCCTGCCAGCTTGGGACTCCAGCGCCCTGTCTTGCTGAGCCAAACACGCCAGTCTGCTTCAACACAGACCCAGGGTCTGAACCATGTGCCCCAAAGCTGCAGACTTAACTGAAAGCAACTTAAGAAGTGCTCCTGTCTTTAACACTCAGATGCCCTCTATAACACTGATAGAGAGATATGCACAGCTGTTTGCCCCCCCCCCTTAGGTATTAATACATACTCTGGGTTAATTAATAAAATCACTTTTTACTTATTAAATACAGAAAGTAGGATTTAAGTGGTTCCACGTAGTAACAGTCAAAACAAAGTGAATTACCAAGCAAAATAAAATAAAACCCACAAGTCTAAGACTAGTACAGTAATAAAACTGAATACAGATAAAAACCTCACCCAGTAAGCTTCTTTTTACAGACTAGTCTCCTTCTAGTCTGGGTGTAGCAATCAATCACACCCCCTGTAGTTACTGTCCTTTGTTCCAGTTTCTTTCAGTATCCTTGGGGGTGGAGAGGCTATCTCTTTAGCCAGCTGAAGACAAAATGGAGGGGGTCTCCTCAGGCTTTAAATAAACTTTCTCTTGGGGGTGGAGACCCCCTCCTCTCTCCTATGCAAAGTCCAACTCCAAGATGGAGTTTTGGAGTCACATGGGCAAGTCACATGTCCATGCATGACTCAGAACTTACAGTTAGCAGCCTTGGTTCACATGCTTTCTTGAAAGTCCTCGCTCCTTGAAAGACTTCTTATGTGGATTGGAGCCTTACAAGATTCATTGTCCTTTAAGTGTTTCTTGATTGGGCACCTAATTTGCACATTCCTTTCTCAAGAAGCTGACCAAATACTCTACTAAGGCTACTTAGAAATCAAGCCAGTACACAGTCAATATTCATAACTTCGAATACAAAAATGATACATGCATACAAATAGGATTAATAGATTCAGTAGACCATAACTTATACAGAGATATGTTACACGGCATATGTAGCATACATTCATAAGCATATTTCCATAAAGCCTTATGGGAGGAATCGTCACAACTACCTTGTCCACATTGCACAACTGTATATTTAATGGTATGTATCAAATACAAACAATAAATCTTCAATAACTTATTCCATTTATCAAGGAAAACTTCTCCAAAGAAACCATCTGAACAGATCTCCATTTTTGAATTCATGTACTTGCATGCAGACACGGCAGGAACTTCTACTGAAACTTCTGAGCATTGGTTTCACTAAGATATTTCTTGTGTTAAAATGTCTCTAACGGACCAATAATAAATTGCTTTCTGACCATGGTCCGCAAATAAGCTTGCTCAGGATTCTTGATCAAAGATAAATCACACAACTTTAATATTGCATCCAGTTGCACCCCAACTACTGCGTGGGTGAAACTAGAGGGTCCGCCCATAAATTATACTGATGTCAGAACTTCAAAAGGAACTGTGGGAAAACGTCTAAAGATGACAGAGTTGTCATGAAGGTGATATTGTAGATGTGGAAAATGGGATAATACCACAAAGAAAAGGGACATATTTCAAAATTTGCCCCAAGGGCAGATTTTTTTTTTTTTAAGAACACACATGGGAAATATTAGCCCGCAAGATGAGCGTTCTGCACATGTGAAAAGATACAGATTATAGACTGGAAACTGTTTTACAACCATAACTACTGAGGCTGCAACTACTATAATTCAGAGAATTCAAAAACATTAATCTGAGTCAAGATTAAAAAAGTGACAAATTCCAAATGCAATATACATAACTGCTGAATGAGTGCCCTGTAACAAAGTTTAAACATGAAAAAACTGTTGAGGAAAAGCAATTAAAGCATATTAAAACTACTGATTCTGGATCAAAAGGCATCTTTTTTTCTTTTTAAAAAAAAAGCTCAATGATACTCAATTTAAACTTATTTGATTTCTTGCCACTATACTTAATAATACCTCATTAAAAAGTATTCCTTCAAGTTTACAATCTTCAAATGCTTGAACTGAATGTCTCCACCTTACTCATAACTTTGCCAAACTCATATTTAGCTCATTTAATCTTTTCTTACAAGCCAATTGCACTATTCTTCTAACCATCTTTCCCCATTTTTTTTTTAAACCAATCCAGTTCGACAGGTCTCTGGAACTAAAGTACCCAGTGCTAGGTGCAGTATTTTAGTACAATCATCTCATACATCAGACATGTTCTCTCTTCCTTGGGTTTGGCCTAGTCTGCGTTCTTAAAAACAAAACATTACCCATCAAACTTCAGCGAGTCTAGTGGAATGTAAATAGTGAGAAAGGCATATACACAGGTTAAAGTTTCCAAAAGGGACATAGGCACTTCTGAAAGTTTTACCCCCAGTTCCCAATACAGTATCTTCAATTCATAAGTCTTCAAAAATATTTAACTCAACTTCTGCTCCCATTGAAACATAGCATATAAGATTCAAAAAGGTTTTATATTTCCTCTTTCCAAGAGGAAAAAGTGGATATTCTGTAGTATCTTTTTCAGCCACAAGTCTTCTCTCTGAGATGCAAGGGGTGCCTGAAATTATGAAGAACCAAACAATTGTTAATCCAGTTTTAAAAAGGCAGTGACATAATTATTCTCCAGGAATTAAAGAATTCTAATCATCTTAGTTTTAATTTTACTTTTTGACAAACCCCTCCTTGTGGCTCCCTAGAACTTTGTTATATAGAGGCTCCACCTCTAATCCTGTCCTGTATCACAAAACTAATTTGCACTTCTTGCTTATTTCTGAAATCTCAATTTTAGAAATAGTACCATCAATACTGCCCTGTAGATTGGGTCCTTATAAAGGTTCAAACTACAGTAAAACTCATGGGAGTTAGCAAAAGTGGTCTCTATAAGAGGTGGTCTGTCTTCAAAGGTTTGCACACCAGAGAAGCAGTGGTGTTCTGTGGGCTGTGCAAGTAGTTGCTTGTCATGTGGTCTCTCTTCAGAGGTGGTCTCTAAGCCAGGTTTTACCGTACTCATTTAAGATCACTTGTGCTGCTTGAATTTCAAGGTGAAGTAATAAAATGGAAGTGATTGTATAGTAAAGACAGGTGTTCTAAAGAAAAGTAAATTATTTTTTTCCCCAAATCTTTGAGATGATTAAATTTAGGCATTTGTCCACTTTAAGAATATTTTTCTTTCCGGAGCTGTAGCAAATTCATAGGATTAAACCAGATACATCTTCTGTCCGTTTATGGCTCACTGATCTAATGGGTTTAGTAGAGAAGGATGTTTAGTGTTACCTGTTAATATCAAAAAGTCATCTAAATTAAAGGGTTTTTTTTTATGAAGTTCACTGGGATGTTGATGAATATGAGAAAATAAGTACAATGGGATCAGGAAACAATCTGAAGTCCCTAATCAATTGTAGTTACTTTTCTTTAACTCTATTTAAGTAACAAACTAATGATAATTTAGCCTAAAACAAAGTCATAGAATCATAGACTATCAGGGTTGGAAGAGACCTCAGGAGGTCATCTAGTCTGACCCCCTGGTCAAAGCAGGACCAATCCCCAAAATTGCCCCAAATGACCCCTTCAAGGATTGAACTCACAACCCTGGGTTTAGCAGGTCAATGCTCAAACCACTGAGCTATCCCTCCCACCTAGTCACTTACACTGTCTAATAATGTAATAATTATTTACTGAGTGCTAACAGCATGCTTGGTGCTCTACAAAACAGTGATTATTACTTGGTAGGTTTGATTCCATTTGCCCTATGTGAGAGATGGTGTGAACAAATGTTGATGCCAGCTACAAGAACTGAAGTCATAATGCTTGTTTTCAGCTTACATAGCATACACTTTAAAGGCATAAAAAGACTGACAATTACCACAGCACTTCTAACCTTTGTAGTAATAAGAGCAGTGTTGATATGAGTTGTCAGTTGGTACTGGTTACCATCTTCCGCCTGTGCCAAACAATTGGTTCGTAAGATTTCTAGCGATCAGAAAAATAAGTGTTCCTAACTTCCACAATTTTATCACAGACCTTGCAATACTTGCTGATCATCTTAAAGTCCCATCTCCCAAAGTCATGAGAATCTCAGGTTATTTATTTTTGTATTTATTAAATAAAAGAGTACTTCTTGGGCTTGCAGAGAAAATCTTGAAAATGGGACCTGCTTGCAAAGGATCAAGAACCAGAAGGAAAACAAAAAGCACCCACTGGGTTCTTTTATTCTATTATTTTTAAAGGCCCGTGATTTTTAAGCCACTCAGGATTTTCTGCGGCCTGACTCATGACTTTCGACTACTTGGGGCTGGAAATACTAGAAATTGGGCAATTCCAGAAACAGGCGGGAGCCGTGACTTTGGGGCAGGGGTTTTCCGCTGATCTCTCACATTCCAGCATCGAAACTGATCAGGAACAGCGGGTGCCACTTAGGGGCAGCGGACGTGCTGGAGGTAGGTGACGCAGACGGACGGTGCCTCCACGGCTAAGACGACTTGCAAAGACAAAACAGGCTACAGGGGCTGCGCCCTTGCCTTGCTGCCTAATGCGGTCCGGAGCGGAGGGTTTCTCTGTCAGCACGGGCCGCCCTGGGACTGCGCACCGGTGGAGGAAGCAGCCGCCGGGCCCGCCTCCAGCTCCAGCCCGCCCGGATTCTTAGGGTACACGGGAGACCCCGCGCTGACGCGGGCAGGCAGGCACTCTAGGCAGGCACAACGGAGGAGAGGCTGCTGGGAGCCCGCTCCGCGCGGAGGCTGCTGGGAGTCACGGGGCCGCTAGGGGTGGCTCGCTGTAACTTTTGCACTGCGGCGGTTGGTGCGGAACGTGGTGGAGCTCGCGCTTGTCCGGTTGCTGGGGTGACGGGGCGGAAGCGGACCTTCCTCCGCGCGCCATTTTCAAACCGCTGGTTCGGCCCAGCTGCCGGCGCCGAGGCTTGCGGAGCCGGAGTCCCCGGTGAGTGTCCCTCGCCCGCGAGATCGTGGGCGAGGTCGTTAGGAGCCCCCGGGTCTTCGCTTGCGCCACTTTCCGGGAAGGAAGGGCCGAGTCCTGCGGGGGAGGGGGGTTGCAGTCTGTTGCTATGGTGACGTTGATGACACTGATGTCAGGTGCGGGGGGGCCGGGGGGTTCCGGTGCCCGGGTCTGGTGAGGGGTGGCCCGGGGCTCCAGGGACTCGGCGTCGCTTAGCGGCAGGACTGGGCCTGGGCGGTCCCGTGGCGCCGGGTGTTACCGACCCTCCCGGCATTACCCCGGACAGCGATGGTGGGGCCCAGTTCCCCTTCCTGCGCCCCCACAGCGCCTTGCCCGCTCCCCAAACCCTGTGCGCCCCTCCCTGAGAGGTGTCCGCCCCGCCTGCCCCAGCCGGCCCCTCCTAGGAGTGACTGCGTCTGTGTCCACGTCTCCCTTCGACCACCTGTTCCCACCGTGCGACCTGTGCCCCCGATCTGAGCTGTGCCCGGCCCGCTGTCATCCTTCCCGCTCTCTGTATCTAGCGCATCTGCGTCCACTCCCACCCGGCCTCTCCCTGAGACCGCAGCTGCAGCGAGCCACCCTCCCACCCCGAGGCCTCCCTGGGATGTCTCCATGCTGACCTCTTACATATATCCTTCCTGTAACGACAGGTTTCAGAGTAACAGCCGTGTTAGTCTGTATTCGCAAAAAGAAAAGGAGTACTTGTGGCACCTTAGAGACTAACCAATTTATCTGAGCATAAGCTTTCCTGAGCTACAGCTCACTTCATCGGATGCATACTGTCTGCATCCGATGAAGTGAGCTGTAGCTCACGAAAGCTTATGCTCAAATAAATTGGTTAGTCTCTAAGGTGCCACAAGTACTCCTTTTCTTCTTCCTGTAACGGTTAACCTTTGCAACCCCATGGCCCCCCCACGTGCACACACCCCCCCTGACCCATCTCTACAATCTGTGCAAACACCCTAGGCTGACCAAAGGTGGATTAAGATTTACTGGGGCACTGGGCACAAAAAACATTTGGGCCCCCTGCAGGCCTGTGAGCTCTGAAACTGGGGGTGGGTAGGAGATACCCACCCACTTTTTAACATGAGCAACCAGGAGTGACAGTGGCTGCGCTTTGCAGGGAGGGAGCTGATAAGCGCAGCCCCTGTAAGTGGAGCCAGCCTCTTCCTGGTGGGAGCCCTCACCACGGAGCCCTGCCCCCTGCTGTTCCTCTACCCCTAAGATGCTAAAAGACAACACACGGTCAGTCTGTGAAAGACTTTGTCAGAGGATATTGTGAAAGCCAAGACTATAACAGGATTCAAAAAAGAACTAGATACATTCATGGAGGATAGATCCATCAATGGCTGTCAGCCAGGATGGGCAGGGATGATGTCCCTAGCCTCTGTTTTTCAGAAGCTGGGAATGGGTGACAGGGGATGGATCACTTGATGATTACCTGTTCTGTTCATTCCCTCTGGGGCACCTGGCATTGGCCACTGTTGGAAGACAGGATACTGGGGTAGATGGACCATTGGTCTGATCCAGTATGGCCGCTCTTATGTTCTTAACCACCCAGAGAGCCTGGTCCCTGAGTGGAGCCCCAGACCCTCCACCTGCCCTGGGTGAACCGGGACATGGGCTGGGGGCTGCTCTTGGCCCTCTGACTCCCCACCCAGGGCAGGTGGAGGGCCTGGGGTGCCCCACAGTGGCCTGGGCTTCCTGGGCATCTCTTACCATGCCTGGCTCCAGCCTCTGGCTTGGCCAGGAGGTGTGGGGCCTTAGGGGGAAGAGGAGGAGCAGGGACAGGGCCACAGTCCCAGCACTGGTGGTCCTCTCCCCATCTACACAGGTTCCAGTACTACTGAGGCCCCTGGGCACGGGCCCTGTGGGCCCATGTGTCAGTCTCCCACTGGCGCTGACTCATTTCTGCAATTGGAATCTGCATTCCTATATGTATTCTTGGACTTTAAGAAAACCCTTGACAAGGTCCCTCTCCAAAGGCTCGTAAGCAGAGTAGGCAGTCATGGGACAAGAGGGAAGGTCCTCTAATGGATCAGTAACTGGTTAAAAGATAGGAAATGAAGGGTAGGAATAAATATCCAGTGTTCACAGTAGAGCATGGTAAATGTAAGGGTCCCCCAGGGATCTATGGTGTTCAACATATTCATAAATGATATGGAAAAAAGCATAAACAATGAGGTGGCAAAGTTTGCAGATGACACAAAATTACTCAAGAAAGTTAAATTTAAAGCTGACTGCGAAAAGTTACAAAGAGATCTTCAGAATGGTAGCCGTGTTAGTCTGTATCAGCAAAAATAACAAGGAGTCCTTGTGGCACCTTAAAGACTAACAAATGTATTTCAGCATAAGCTTTTGTGCGCTAAAACCCACTTCATCAGATGCATGAATGCGGAACAAAACGGCAGATGAAATTCAGTGTTGATAAATGCAAAGTAATGCACACTGGAAAACATCCCAACTCTATATACAAAATGAAGGGGCCCTACATTAGCTGTTATTACTCAAGAAAGAGATTTTGGAGTCGTGGTTAGTTTTGTAAAAACATCTGCTCAGTGTGCAGTGGCAGTATGAGGGGGAAAAAAAGGCAGGGGGGCTAACTATGTTAGAAAACATTAGGAAGACAGATAATAGGATAGATAATAAGACAGAAAATATCATAATGCCACTATATAAATCCATGGTATGCCCGCACCTTGAATACTGCATGCAGTTCTGGTTGCCCATCTCAAAAAAGAGAATTGGAAAAATTACCCAAAAGGGCAACAAAAATAATTAGGGATATGGAACAGCTTCCATATGAAGAGAGATTAAAAATATTGAGACTGTTCATCTGAGGAAAGAGACAACTAAGGAGGGATATGTAAGTAGTTGAGTCTCAAATGCAAGAAATGCCACCTGGAGTCAAAGTTGTTTGAGAGGAGCAAGTGCTTTGTTAATTTATAGAGAAATCTAATATGTACTTCCACTCTAGACACGCAGAAAAGCAAAGATTTCCTAGAGTCTCTGAGTCTCTGTTGGACATGATGAAGACATTCCCAAGACTTACTGTCCTTGGGGACTTCAACGTCCATGCAATGGCCCCAAATCTCTTCTCCTTACTCTATATCCTAAACTTCTCTCAGATACTCTCTGGACCTATATGCAGAGCTAGTTGCTCCCCAACCTGTTTTCTGGAGTGGCTGTGGCTCTTGGGAATACAAGGAAAAATCATTTTGTCCTGCAATGAGTATCACCACTGTCAGGCTCAGATCTAAATCCTCTCAAGTCTCCAGGCAAGAAAGAGTTATCATGATAGTTTACCCATTGGAACCAGTGAAATTCTGAAACATCCTGCAGGTAACTCTACCCAATGTGAAAGGCCACAGGATAGAAGATGCAATGAGATTTTATGACCACTGGTTAATCACAGACTTTGATGCTCTGGCACCAAATTGTCCATTTCTTCCTCCTTGTCCCAGTAGATTACCATCATTTTCTGATGTCCTGTGACAGAAGAAACAGCAAGAAAGAAAACTTTATCAGCTGTATATGGCAGAAACAAACTGGAATACTTCTGCTCAACTCCAGAACCAACCATATTGCTATCAGCCTACTTCTCAGAGAAAATAATTCACATCCACGCTTAATTTCTGGAACACTAGGAACCATATGCCAGATACAGGCCCAGTAACAAGATATCTCCTGTCCCTAAATTCGTCCCATTTGTACAGCAGGAAATCCTAGAAGCAAGTGCAGGAAAGCAAAGTCACCACCTTCAGTGCTAATCGTTCTTAGCTGCTGAAGGAGAATTGAGATAATTTGGGAGAACAACTAATTGAAATTGTCAGCACCACCTTTGAGGACGGCAGTATACCACCCATCACAAAGCAATCCAGCTAGTATGTACAGAACAGTCACTCCATGCAGTTGAGGTGTTGCAGTTACCTGATTACTCCTGAGAGCATTCTGTGCTGGAAAAGTAAATTCTGTGCACAATATTTTAAAATTCTGCACATTTTGCTTGTCAGTAAATAAATGCGGAGGCTCCAGCATGGCAGTGGGAGCGCAGGCTACTGGCTGCATGAAGGTGGGACACGGACTCAGTGGTGAGGCTGCATCTGACACAGTACAAGGGCTGGGCCTGCTCCAGAAATAACCTGGGGCCTGCCCCTCTGTACCAGGTGCACCACGTGTGGGCCAGGCAGGCTCAACCAGGCAGGATCCAAGTGTGAAGAGGCTCGGTGTGGGGGGGGGATCCAGGTGTGGGGTGAGAAGGTTCTGTGTGGGGGGATCTGGGTGCAGGCAGCTCAGTGGCGGGTCTAAGTGTGGGGGGATCTGGATGCACAGAAGCTCGTTGTGGGGGTTCCAGGTGCAGGGGCAATGGGACTCTACAGGGGCTTCCAGATAAAGGTGGTTGAGGCTCAGTGGGGGGTCTGGGTGCTGGGGGAGTGGGGTTTGGGAAGTGGGGGTCTGGGTGCAGCTAGTTGGGGGTCTGGATGTGGGGGCTTGGGGTGGGGCCTGTCAGGGTGGGAGTTTGAGTGCAGGGAGCTCAGTTGGGGGTGGTTTGGGTGCAGAGGTGGGGGTCTGGAGGCGGGGGGTCTGGTTGCAGGGTGGCTTCAGATATAGGGGTTGAGGTGGGGGTGGAATTCAGGTATGGAAGGTTGGGTGTGTGTGTCTGGGTATACAGGGTGAGGTTTGGCGGGGGGGAGGACGGGTATAGGAGGTCCGATGCATGGGGGTTGGGCGGATGGGAGAGAAGCTCCTTGTACAGTAACTCCTCCCCCCATGGCTGAGGAGCGATAGGGACAGCAAGCAGGGGAGGATGCTGAGCTTCCTGCAGCCAGGGGAAGGTTTCTGGGGGTTGGTATGCCACAGCTCCATCTGCTCCTTGTAGGGGAAGAGGAAGCCCCGTCCTCTCCCGCCTCCAGTTCAGCCGGGACTAGCAGCTGATCCGGGCACAGGGTAGAAGCCACCGGCTGGGGTGTCCCAGTGATTTACCTCTCCACCAACTGCTTCGGGTTCCTGGAATGATGTACCTGCGCTGCTAGGGTGGGGTGCATGACCGCTCTTGCAGCTTCTCTTTGCTTCTATGTCAGAAAGTAATTTTTCTGCGGGGACATTGATTCTGCGCACGTGCAGTGGCACAGAATTCCCCTAGGAGTAAGCCTGATGTTTTACCTTCCATTTCTAAGCAAGCTAATAGAGAAGCTTGCCAATTTTATCTGGAACTCTCCCTAGGCATTGCTGGTATTTAGGTCCTCTTCCAGTGAGGATTCAGGCCAGGACGTGGTACAAAGATAGTGCTGAGTGGTTTTATGGATAATCTTCTCTTGGCTACAGAGCAGGGCCTTGCAGCCATACTGCTATAAATTAGAAACCTCTCCATGGTAGAAGTTTTGATAGTGGACCATGAGATCTTTCTGTCTGGCCTCAGACATGTCACAGGGATTTATGTTTGTAGCTTCAGTTGTTGTGGACACCTGCTTTTCCACCTTCAAAGCCTTCATCTGTGAAGCCTCTCAACATCTCCCTTGTTCTGTTAGTCTATGTGATGTCTATGTGATGTCACGGCGGGAGATTGTGAAACATGGATTAAAAAGTGAGCAGATAATGTGAAGCTCTACATCACCTGCATATCAGAGGCAAGCAGCACCATTTATCTCCCAGTGAACCAAGCATTTGGCTGAGATCAGCAACTGGATGCAGAGCTGCTGGTTGAAGCTAAATCCCGGAAATAATGAGCATCAGGAGAGGGAAGCATTTAAAAGAAATCATCCCCGCTCTATCACTGATGGACTATTGGATATTCAGATGCAGTGAGAAATTCAGAGAGATACTGAGGCTGCAACCTCTCAGGGATCTAATTACAATGATTTACACATTTTTGATCTCCAGTCTGAGTTGCTATAATTTACTAATTATGAAAGTAACTTTTTTAAAAAAAAAACAACCTGCAGTTGGTACAGAACGGCTGGTCATCTGCGCAAAAAAGAAGGCCACCAAGATCACACCATTCCAGTGCTCTGCTTCCTTCATTGACCCCTCCTTCCCCCACTCAGTACCAGGTCAAATTCAAGGTTTTGGTCCATATTCCAAGTCCTCCATAGGATTAGCCTAAATAATATAACTTCTTCATCTGATGTGATCATGACCTCTCACAGTTAATCTACTCTTGAGAGAATTCTGCACCAAAAAAATTTCTGTGCACAATATTTTAAAATTCTTCAAAATTCTGCATATTTTATTTGTCAGAATAACACCATATAATCATGAGGAGTACGGTCTCACCTTAAAGACTAACAGATTTATTTGGGCGTAAGCTTTTGTGGGTAAAAAACCCACGAAAGCTTATGCCCAAATAAATCTGATAGTCTTTAAGGTGCCCCTGGACTCCTTGTTGTTTTTGTGGATACAGACTAACATGGCTACTTCTCCAATACAATATAATCATACCAGTTTCAATTATTTTAGTAATTCATTTCAAAATACCATCAGCAAGTATGCCTGTAACAATACAGACAACAAAAAATATTCAGGAAATGTTTTTTGATAAATATATTCCTTACTAGGCATATTAATACAGAACTCTGAGTAATAATTCATTTAAACTACAATACAGAAGTGTATTTCCTGCACCCCTCAGAAGCAGTGCAAAGGCTTGGGGGAGTCAGGGGTAACAGAGGAGTTGAGGGAGAGGGAAGTAATTGCTGGGAAGGAGCCTGGATGTTAACTTGAAGGGTTGTTGGGTATGGGTGGGAAAAGTATGGAATGGGTTTTTTTGGCGGGGTGGGGAGGAATTGTTAGGGAGCTTCCCCCATACAGACCCTGGCTGACCCCTAGCCTCTCCCTTTCAGTCAAGCACATATGTCCCTGCACCCCCACTGAGACACCCATTCCCTCCATCCCCCTGTGTCCCTGCACCCCCTCATCCCGCCTCCTCCCCATATCCCTATGTGTCCCTGCACTCTTCCCCCTGTCCTTATGTGTCTCTTTTCCTCCACTCAGCTATCCCCCTTCCCCCATGTGGCCTTGCACTCCCTCCCCCGTCCCCATGTGGCTCTGCACCTCCCTCCCCACTGTGACCCTCCATTCCCATTCAGCCCCTGCCCCAGTCTGTGCTCCCCCACTAGCCCTTATGAGCCTGTCTGACCCCCACAGCAGCCCCACTCTGTCTGTCTCCCCATATCCCCTGTCTCCTGACCTGGCCTGACAGGTGCTGTGAAGAAGGCACTTAAGGCTCTCTCTCTCTTCCTAGCTGGTTGGGAGTGGCTGCTCTGTTCTAGCGCCACAGCACCCTCTAGTGGGCAAAAGGCAGAAGTGCAGCAACTTTCCGGCAGAAGCTATTTTCTATAAAAATAAAAATATGCACGGAACATTAATTATGCGCATGCACAGTGGTGCAGAATTCCTCCAGGAGTAATAATCCACTGGAACTGTCAACTTTGAGTGAAATTTTGTATGTGAAGGAAAAAATCTTTTTGAGAACTGGCACATGGATCTCACGCCTCGTGGAGATCAAGATGACCACAAAATTCAGAAAGTGCAGAATCCACTTTGATTTAGTCTTCCCATAAAAATATCTCCCTGAAGTCTGGTTCTTGCTGATGGGAGGGAAAAGAGAAAGAGAGAGATTTTTATGTGTATACCTCATGGGAGGAGCTCAGATAGGTGTAGTATAAAAATCTAGATAAATAATTTCTTTATAACAAAACTTAGTGTAAGTGGACAGTGTCTTTTAATAAAGGCATTTAGTTACACAATGTTTCAAGAACATATATAGACATCTATATTTCATATACAAAAATACTAGGGGTTTTTTATTTATTTGTTTTTTTACCAGAAAGCATTGCTTTTACTTATTCATGTTGTACAGCGGCAAGAAAGAAACTCTGTATATATTCTATAATCTTTTTCAGGTCACCTTGATTTTGCTGGGAGTGATAAAACCACTTTTGAAGCATATTCACAATGAGCACGGCTGCAGAGCGAAAGTTTATTAATCTCAGGAAGAGGCTAGATCAGCTGGGCTATCGACAACCCTTAGGAGTGGAGAGCTTGCCTCTGGTGGAAAAACTTTTTAGGTATCCAAACAAAAGGGAAATCTTTAAAAAGAACGTTAGTCATAGCAGTGCATGCTACTTGAGTATAAAACTTGTGGTAAACTGTCTTACTCTTTTAAAAAATTGCTTTAAAGACAAAAACAAAATTTTCTATTGAAATAGGGTCAAATGAGAAATTGTTTAAAGTGAACATTTAACATTTTATGAGAATTTATTGGGATATTTTCTAAGTATTGACAAGTTAAGAAAATTCTAGTATCCAACTCCTGGGACAACTGGGTTTTTACTGGCCTCTATAAAGGCTGATGATCTGCACTTAAAAATTCAAAATGTCTAAAGTGAGGCTAAAAATGAAAACTTACCTCCTGACTCAGGTTCTTAATATTCTTATGTGGGTAGAGTGTATATATCATGAGCTGTGTCCACATTTACTGAAATGTGTAATGGGATGCTACTGGTTGCATAAAGCAGAAAATGAATGTATCTAAGTAGTATGTCTGGAGGACAACTTATCCACCCTTCAGCTGTTTGATGGCTTTGATGCCATTACGCACGCAGGAATTGCCATACTGGATCAGAACAGAGGTCCATCTAGTCCAGTATCCTTCTCAGATAGTGGCCAGCACCAGATGCTTCGGAGGAAGGTGTAAGGACCCACAATCAGCAGTTGTGGAATAATTTGCCCCATATTTAGGTCTCATCCTGAGTACCAGTAGATTGATTTGAGCCCTCTGAGGCATGAGGTTTAATGTTTGTTATAATTAATTATGGTAATTAAATATTCTGGAGATACATATCGATATCAATCTCTTTTTGAATCATGTTTAAATTCTTGGCCTCAGTGACTTCCTGTGGCAATGACTACCACAGTTTAATTACATGTTGTTTATCAATTTTGAATTTCCTTTCCTTTAATATAATGGAATGTCCACTTGTTCTTGTGTTATGAGGCAGGGAGAACCAAAGTTTTTGATCTGCCTTGTCTATACCATCTATACTTTTATCATGTCTCTTCTTCTTCATCTCCTTTCTAGTATAAACAATCCCAATCTTTTCAATCTTTCTTCATATGACAGTTTTTCCATGCCCTTGATTATTGTCATTGCCTTTCTTTGAACACCTCTAGTTCGGAAATGTCCTTTTTAAGAAGGGATGCACACAGTATTTCAGATGAAGTCGCATCAGTGGTTTATATAAATGCACTATAGTATTTTCTGTACTATTCACCATTGTATTCTTTATGCATTTTATGACAGTTCTCATTTTCAGTCTTAGTGGACAAACCAATCTGTCCACCCAATATTTTTAAGCTCATGTCGTGTTGCAGCTTATCCTTGAAGAGCAACATAAAACATTTTAATGAAGAAAAACCAAAACTAAAGGCAACTCATTTTGTCTACAAAGAGAGCAGATCAACTTAGTTTCTGGTTGAATAACCAGGTCTAGGGTGTCCATAGACAAGATACTTCATAAGAAAAAATTGATAACCTAATTGATTATTGAAGCTAGAAGCTTTTTTGATAGGATATCATTTTCCTTAGTGAAAATTTAAGAAGATTTCTATTTAAAACAATAAAACTACTTGTGCTGCTGTGAATTTTTCTTCACAAAGAGAATTCTTTAGGGAAAATTAGTTAGGCCTAATTTTAGGTATACATTTGTTAATCCCACATTTTTGGTTTACAGACACTTGGTATGTTACAGAAACTAATTATTGGTGGCCTTTGGTGGTTCTGCCAACATTATTATGTAAGCATAGAATCCTTTCTATATATCTAGAAATTTGTAACCACCAATTCTAGACTAAAGCCAGAAGGAAAAGATCAGCCACATTTATGTCTATTGCATTATACTGCATTAATATTTTGAAGTTTGCACTGAATTACTGTCAAATCTCTATAGTGAAAATTCTGACTTTATATATCTATGTTTTGGAATGTAGCTGTGTATAATGCTAGGAGAGGGAGTCTTAAAATCTTTCTAGTACTGGGGTGGCCTACCTGTGGCTCCGGAGTCACATGCAGCTCTTCAGAAGTTAATATGCGGCTCCTTGTATAGGCACCAGCTCCGGGCTGGAGCTACAGGTGCCAACTTTCCAATGTGCTGGGAGGTGTGGCTCACTGCTCAACCCCTGACTCTGTCACAGGCCCTGCTCCCACTCCACCCCTTCCTGCACCCTCCCATAAGCCTGCCATGCCTTCACTCCTTTCCTTCCGAGCCTCCTGCACGCCACAAAACAGTTGATCGGGAGGTGTGGGGGGTGGAGCTTATGGGGGGGCTGCTGACGTATTACTGTGGCTCTTTGGCAATGTACATTGGTAAATTCTGGCTCCTTCTCAAGCTCAGGTTGGCCACCCCTGCTCTAGTAGATTAAACAAGTAATTTAAAAATGGTTTCAAACAACATGAGTGCCTTTTTAAGGACAAAATAACCATTTGGGATTATAACTTTCAATTTGGTAGGATTCTTGCCTGAATTTAGACTATTTGCTGTCTTTTGATTTCAGTGACCTTGTCCATACAACAGAGAGCCTGCGCAGTACAAAGTTATCTGCTGGAAAAATTGAAAAAGAGTGCAGCAATTTTGATGCTATTCTAGAACCTTATAAAGCAGAGAATGCTAAACTCACGAGAGAAAATAATGAATTACATTTAGAGATATTGAAACTGAAAGAACAATCTGATCGTCATGTTAAAGGTAATATGAAAAATTAAGATAATTTTCAGTCTCTCTGAATATCAAAAATAACTGGATTTTGTTTCAGATTGCACATATGGCCCTGATCCTGCAAATTCTTCTGTATGTTCTTAACTTTAAGCCCATGTGTCGTCCCATTTACTTCAGTGTGTTTACAGACTTGGGCCTAAATGTACAAATGTTTGTTCTATAATCTAAAGGCTGCTGAACTCCAATACATTAACATTCTGTCAAGTTTAATGTCAAGTTACATTTTGTTCTGACATACTTGTACTACAGTGATACTTAGACCAAGGCTCAGGAGCTGCAAGTGACTCTTTAATGTGTTTCCTGTGGCTCTTTGCAACACATGCTATTAAAATACTGTGTGATTTTATTAACCAGTCTAAGTTATTAACCAATCAGGGTGCTTTTGCTATGTTGTTAACCAGTGGTAGTGGTCAGTTATTTTGCTGTGAGAACAATTTTTATATATATAAAAATAGTAAATGAAACAATGAATTCACACTACTGTGGCTCTTTTGGGTAATGTTGATTGCTAGTTTGGCTCCTGAACCACTGAGGTCTGAGTATCGCTGTTTTACAACATGGAAAATTGCTTAAAAATTAAAATACTAGGAATATTGCTGTTTAAAGTGTGGCTTCACTTTGAAGAGCGACTATGTGTATAAATATGAATGGAAAGTCTTTAGGTGGTTCTACCTTTATGATCTTTCAGTGACTTCTAAATCAAATTTGTTCATTTTTCAAATCTGTGGGTTTTTACCCATCTGGCAAACTACAAACTCACCCTGAAATCTAACAGTGAAGCCAGTGTTTTTTCTGGCTCATCACAAATACTTATCTCTTATAAAAATGCTTTTCATCCATAGATTCAAAGCGCTTAAAAATTCTGTAACTGGAATTTAGTTAACAATCCTGAAGAGAATCTAGTTCGATATTGCAATATTAGCTATACACTTCTAAAACGAAAAAAATAGTAAGTAGAGTTCACTCTGAATATACACTTATGTAAAAAACAACCACATTACAGTCTGTTTTCAGAACTGATGTGCTCTTTAATTGAAGGGTACTCATGGTCTAATGGGAAATCCTGCTCTCTGACTGGTTTCTCACAAAGTTGCACAGATCATGCTAAGCAGATGAGTGAAAGCCATTGGATCCCTTCCAGTCCTAGCAGCTAAGAACAGGAAAGGAGGGAGAAGAAATTCTGTTTTAGCTTTGCAGGGACTTTGCAGGGACCATAAGATAAATGACACGCTATCATTTCCTTAAAATACCATTATTTGTGATATTGGTCCTCATTATTTAAACAAGCAGTGTTCATCCAATAAATGACTTCCTACTTTTTTATCTGTGAGCTTTTCATACTAATGAATGGTCAGAAAGGAAATAAGTATAATGTCAATCTTCATTGTTTATTATTTATTATTTTAGAAGTATCTGGGATAAATATTACAGTATGAACCCTCCAGAATTTGCAGATAAACATTTTGTAAATTGAAAGAAAAACTTGGATCTTGTTTTGTGTGTTTCAACACTAAAGAGGTTTTAAACTTTTTCAATACACTTGTGAGAAATAATGACCACAGATGTCCAGTTTGTTTTTTTTATTACACTATATGAGTTAAAATTGAAGATTCCTGAGGTCAGACTTAATTTTAGCCTATGACTATCATAAGTAAATTCCAGAGTAAGTTCTTCTGCTCATATAAAATATAGATCTTGTTCCAGTCTTGAACACACACAATATGCCACTGGCACATTCTAGTCTAGAAGTTGACAGCCTTGTGTTGAAATTTTCAGGAAGACTTTATTAACTAAAGTAAGAAAGACCTATCAAAACAAATACCATGTACATTAATAGAGTAGAGTAAAATATACCCTTCAATTGTATAATATATTTAAAATGAAAAATGTTTGTTACTTTGAGGGCTGTATTTAAAAAACAATTGTCAGTGGACTTTCATTGTCTTCCTAAAGCTTCCACAGTTAAAGTAAAAATGTGTTGTAAAAATTACTATCATAATACTTTTACCAACCACCTTTAATAAAATTAACTGCAGAGTCAAGATGTTAGTACATTTTAAAATAATAATGTATCCTGAATATTGACAGAGAAAGCTAAAGTGTCTATGTTCTGTTTTGTGCAATAGTATTACAATGACAAATGTAATCAGCAAAAGCAGTATTCCAGTATATTTATCTCTTCTTTTTTCATTACTATTCTCACTATGAATGAAGAGCCAGTGACCATTTTCTTTGCTGCATCACCAGCGTCCTGGCTATAAAGACATCTTAACCCTTTCTAAGGAGGAGCAAATCAGTGTAAGAGTGATATTTGGATGGCACAGAGCAGTCATAGTAATCACACTATTCCTGGCATAGAAGGATAAATAGTTGATGGCTAGAAGAAAGAGGATCAGAGAGGTAGCCATGTTAGTCTGTATCCACAAAAACAACAAGGAGTCCGATGGCACCTTAAAGAAAGCTTATGCCCAAATAAATCTGTTAGTCTTTAAGGTGCCAAGAAAAAGGATGTGGCCAGGAAGTTTGAGCCCTTGTGTCTGTTGCAGCCTGGCATAAATTAGTGCAGCACAACTCAAGAGGAAGAACCTGCACAGAGCATTGCTGAGATCAGAGGCAAAGCTTTTGCACATCACCCCCATGACCTGTGCTCTATAGTTTGACAGAACTAGAAGTCTCCAGCTCATTCCACTGGAGTCTGTCTATACTGAATAAAAATAACAAGAACAACAATATTAATCTGTAAATAAAACTCAGATGTTACTTACATGAAGTAAGACTTTAACAGCTGAAAAACCTGTTAGTAATAATGAGAGAAAATTTGCATAAACTTTGCAAGAATCTAAAGAACTACATAACATTATCAGCTCCTGTATAATTGTCATGTTTTTGAAAATGAGGACATTTGACTCCTTTATGCATATATTTGTATGATTAGAATATTGATAATAGCTATTGTTTTATTTTTTTCTAGACTTGAAGGCCACATTAAGAAAGGTTGAACATGAGACAGCCGACTTGAAGTTTCTGAATAATCAATATATACATAAAATTCGATCATTAGAGCGAGATAACAAAGCCAAGACTGAAAAAATTCAGCAACTTCAGGAGAAGAATCTACAAGCAGTAGTACAAACTCCAGGTACGACCACTGCATATAAAGCAATCCTAGATAATCTTACTTTTCCCAAACTGTGATGATCTACTTTCTAGGTAAGGATGAGAAGCTGGGAGGAAATTTATAGCATTTCAGTACACGATTATCTTCTTAAACTTTTGTCTCTCTGCTCTGCAAGTATGCGTTTCCATATGTTTAAGAAAGATTTGTGTAACATATTGTTATCAAAGAAAGATGATGAGTGATATGGGCAAAGTTGCCTCTGGAAAATCACATAGTTAGAACATGACCTTAAGGTATCATGTTAACCAACATAATTTTGACCGTAACTCTGCTACCAATTGCAAATCGTGTTTAACACTGTCAGCTGGTCATGGGTAAACCCATGTGTCAGTAGTTTGTCTTTAACATTGTGCGGTTGGTCATGGTTAATATGATTTGTCCCTGTCTATATTGACTGCACAGTAATGGTCAGCATCACGTTAGTTAACCTGTTAGGAGTTTGAGGGCTGCTGTCTTGTAACAGCCACAAAGGGCTGTAAACCTAGTTCAAAATCAGAGTAATATAGTGGCTTCTAAATGCTAGCCGCTTTGTTTTCAGTAATCATGCCTCTCCCCTGCCTTTCATTGGTATGCGGATAGCAAGAAGGGTGTGTGGAACATGAGAACCTACTTCGGCTGTACAGCTTCAGGATCATCATCCTTGCATCTGGTTGATCCTCTCTGAGCCACTTACTTGGCTTTTGCAACTGAAGTCTGTTTAGTATTGGGGTGGAAAACTATCATAGTGCACCAAAGATCTAGCTCTCTGGGAACACAAATAATTTAAAGTAGTCTTTCTCTGCACATCTCTCTGATTAAATTAACATGTGCTAGTGTTTAATTTCACTTGTTAGGGTAACTTCTCTCTTTCACTTCCTTTCCGACACTAAAACAACCAGAAGTCCGGTGGCACCTTAAAGACTAACAGATTTATTTGGGCATAAGCTCTTGTGGGTAAAAACCCCATTTCTTCAGATGCATGGAATGAAAATTACAGATGAAGACATTATTATACTGACACATGAAGAGAAGGGAGTTACCTCACAAGTGACGAAGCAGTGCTGACAGGGCCAATTCAATCAGGGTGGATGTAGTCCACTCCCAATAATTGATGAGGAGGTGTCAATTCCAGGAGAGGGAAAGTTGTTTTGTAGTGAGCCAGCCACTCCCAGTCCCTATTCAAGCCCAAATTAACGGTGTTAAATTTGCAAATGAATTTCAGTTCTGCAGTTTCTCTTTGAAATCTGTTTCTGAAGTTATTTTGTTCAAGTATGGCTACTCTTAAATCTGTTATAAAATGTCCAGGAAGATTGAAGTGTTCTCCTACTGGCTTTTGTATGTTACCATTCCCAATGTCCAATTTGTGTCCATTTCTTCTTTTACGTAGGGACTGTCTGGTTTTGGCCAATGTACATGGCAGAGGGGAATTGCTGGCACATGATGGCATATATCACATTAGTAGATGTGCAGGTGAATGAGTCCCTGATGGTGTGGCTGATGTGATTGGGTCCTCTGATGGTGTCGCTAGTGTAGATATGGGGACAGAGTAGGCAACACGGTTTGTTATAGGGATTGGTTCCTGGTTTAGTGTTTCTGTGGTGTGGTGTGTAGTTCCTAGTGAGTATTTGCTTCAGGTTGGGTGGCTGTCTGTAAGCGAGGACTGGCCTGTCTCCCAAGGTCTGTGAGAGTGAGGGATCGTTTTCCAGGATAGGTTGTAGATCGTTGATGATGTGCTGGAGAGGTTTTAGCTGGGCGCTGTACGTGATGGCCAGTGGTGTTCTGTTATGTTCCTTGTTGGGCCTGTCCTGTAGTAGGTGACTTCTGGGTACCTGTCTCACTCTCTCTGTCTGTTTCCCCACTTCCCCAGGTGGGTATTGTAGTTTTAAGAATGCTTGATAAAGATTTGGTAGGTGTTTCTCTGTCTGAGGATTGGAGCAAATTCGGTTGTATCTTAGGGCTTGGCTGTAGACAATGGATCGTGTGACGTGTCCTGGATGGAAGCTGGAGGCACGTAGGTAAGTATAGCAGTCAGTAGGTTTCCGGTATAGGGTGGTGTTTGTGTGAACATCACTTATTTGCACTGTAGTGTCCAGGAAGTGGATCTGATGTGTGGACTGGTCCAGGCTGAGGTTGATGGTGGGGTGGAAATTTTGTTAAAATCTAGGTGGAATTCTTCAAGGGCCTCCTTTCCATGCATCCATATGATGAATATTTCATCAATGTAGTGCAAGTAGAGGAGGGGCACTAGGGGTCGAGAGCTGAGGAAGCGTTGTTCTAAGTCCGTATAAAAATGTTGGCATACTGTGGGGCCATGCAGGTACCCATAGCAGTGAGGTATAAGTTGTCCCCAAATCTGAAATGGTTGTGGGTGAGGACAACGTCACAAAGCTCAGCCACCAGGTGTGTCGTGGCCTCATCAGGGATACTGTTCTTGACAGCTTGTAGTCTATCCTCATGTAGAATATTGGTGTAAATAGCTTCTACATCCATGGTGGCCAGGATGGTGTTTTCAGGAAGATCACCAGTGCATTGTAGTTTCCTCAGGAAGTCAGTGGTGTCTCGAAGATAGCTAGGAGTGCTGTTAGCGTAGTGTCTGAGGAGAGAGTCCAAATAGCCAGATAATCCTACTGTAAGAGTGTAGTTTCTTTTGATACTCCTCGGTGGGATCGGAGGATAGTGGCCTGTAGAATGTGGCGTTGGAGAGTTGCCTGGCAGCCTCCTGTTCATAATCCAACCTGTTCATTATGACTACAGCACCTCCTTTGTCAGCCCCTTTGATTATGATTTCAGTTATTTCTGAGGCTGTGGATGGTGTTGCGTTCTGTACGGCTGAGGTTATGGGGCAAGTGATGCTGTTTGTTCACAATTTCAGCCTGTGCACTTCTGCAGAAGCACTCTGTGTAGAAGTCTAATCTGTCATTTTGACCGTCAGGAGGAGTCTACGCATAATTCTTCTTGCAGTGTTGGTAGGAGGGTTCCTGTGGGTCAGTGCACTGTTCAGTGGTGCGTTGAAAATATTCCTTGAGTTGGAGACGGCGAAAGTAGGCTTCCAGATAACCACAGAACTGTATCATGTTCGTGGGGGTGGTGGGGCAGAAAGAGTGTCCCCGAGATATGACAGACTCTTCCACTGGACTAAGTATGTGGTTGGATAGATTAACAATATTGTTGGGTGAGTTAAGGGTGCCACTGTTGTAGCCCCCTGTGGCATATAGGAGTTTACTGTCCTTTTTCCTCTGTAGAGAAGTGAAGTATGCATTGTAAATGGCTTGTCTCATTTTTGTAAAGTCCAGCCGCGTGGAAGTTTGTGTGGAAGGTTGGTTTTGTATGAGTGTCTCCAGTATTGAGAGCTCATTTTTGATCTTCTCCTGTCTGCTGTACAGAATGCTGATCAGGTGATTCCTCAGTTTCTTTGAGAGTGTGTGGCACAATCTCTTACCGTAGTCAGTGTAGTATGTCGATTGCAATGGATTTTTTACCTTCAGTCCATTTAGTATGGTGTCCATCTGTTTGCACTTGGAGAGGAAGATGATGTCTGTCTGTGTCTGTGCAAGTTTTTTGATGAGGTTGACATATGGCTAAATTCAGTGCCTTGCATGGTGTCAAGTATCAGGGGTGTCAATAAATCTGTTAGTCTTTAAGGTGCCACCGCACTCCTTGTTGTTTTTGTGGATACAGATTAACATGGCTACCCCCTGATTAGGTCGAATTCATAGAAGTCTGTTTTTTAGAAATCGTTTTTAGGTAGTCAGTTGTGCGTGTCCCCACACAAAATGCTCTAATTGCATTAAGTGCATTAACTTGGCGGAGTGCTTCCACAGTACCGAGGCTAGCGTCGACTTCCGGAGCGTCACACCGTGGCTACCTATCCCACAGTTCCTCAGTCTCCGCTGCCCATTGGAATTCTGGGTTGAGATCCCAATGCCTAATGGGGCAAAAATATTGTCGCGGGTGGTTCTGGGTACATGTCGTCATACCCTCCTTCCGTGAAAGCAACGGCAGACAATCGTTTTGCGCCTTTTTTCCTGAGTTACCCGTGCAGATGCCATACCACGGCAAGCATGGAGCCCACTCAGCTCACTGTCACTGTATGTCTCCTGGGTGTTGGCAGATGCAGTACTGCATTGCTACACAGCAGCAGCTCATTGCCTTGTGGCAGCAGACGGTTCAATAGGCCTGATAACCATCATCATCATGTCTGAGGTGCTCTTGGCCTCCTCAGTAAGGGCGTCAGGATTGCCTGAGCAGACATGGGCGCAGGGACTAAAATAGGAGTGACTCGACCAGGTCATTCTCTTTAGTCCTGCTGGCAGTCGTATTGCACTGTCTTCTGGCGAGCAGCCAGGAGATAAGGATGGCTAGTAGTCCTATTGCACCGTCTTCTGCTGAGCAGCCAGGAGATGAGGATGGCTAGTAGTACTACTGCACCGTCTGCTGCCAGCCAAAGATGTAAAAGATAGATGGAGTGGATCAAAACAAGAAATAGACCAGATTTGTTTTGTATTCATTTGCTCCCCCCTCCCTCCCTCTGTGAAATCAACAGCCGACAATCGTTTCGGTGAGGTCTGTCAGGGGCACCTTGAAAAGTTTAATGGAGATTCAGTCCTGCCTGGAATACTGGGGAGAGGGATAGCTCAGTGGGTTGAGCATTGGCCTGCTAAACTCAGGGTTTTGAGTTCAATCCTTGAGGGGGCCATTCTTTGTGACAATTGTTTGTTTCTCCTTGAAGTTAAGCCACCCCCTTTGTTGATTTTAATTCCCTGTAAGCCATGTCGTCAGTCGCCCCTCCTTCTGTCAGAGCAATGGCAGACAACTGTTCCGCGCCTTTTTTCCATGCAGACGCCATACCACGGCAAGCATGGAGCCCGATCAGATCACTTTGGCAATTAGGAGTACATTAAACACCATGCGTATTATCCAGCAGTATATGCAGCACCAGAACCTGGCAAAGCGAAACCGGGCAAGTAGGCGACGTCAGTGCG